TGGTGTTGATGGTGGTGGGTGGCACGTGTAGGTCGTGTTGATTGTGGTGGCTGGCACGTGTAGGTGGTGTTGATGGTGGTGGGTGGCACGTGTAGGTCGTGTTGATGGTGGTGGGTGGCACGTGTAGGTCGTGTTGATGGTGGTGGATGGCACGTGTAGTTGGTGTTGATGGTGGTGGGTGGCACGTGTAGGTTGTGTTGATGGTGGTGGGTGGCACGTGTAGGTGGTGTTGATGGTGGTGGGTGGCACGTGTAGTTGGTGTTGATGGTGGTGGGTGGCACGTGTAGGTCGTGTTGATGGTGGTGGGTGGCACGTGTAGGTCGTGTTGATGGTGGTGGGTGGCACGTGTAGGTCGTGTTGATGGTGGTGGGTGGCACGTGTAGGTGGTGTTGATGGTGGTGGGTGGCACGTGTTGGTTGTGTTGATGGTGGTGGGTGGCACGTGTAGGTGGTGTTGATGGTGGTGGGTGGCACGTGTAGGTTGTGTTGATGGTGGTGGGTGGCACGTGTAGGTGGTGTTGATGGTGGTGGGTGGCACGTGTTGGTTGTGTTGATGGTGGTGGTTGGCACGTGTAGGTGGTGTTGATGGTGGTGGGTGGCACGTGTAGGTGGTGTTGATGGTGGTGGGTGGCACGTGTTGGTCGTGTTGATGGTGGTGGGTGGCACGTGTAGGTGGTGTTGATGGTGGTGGGTGGCACGTGTAGGTCGTGTTGATGGTGGTGGGTGGCACGTGTAGGTCGTGTTGATGGTGGTGGGTGGCACGTGTAGGTTGTGTTAATGGTGGTGGGTGGCACGTGTAGGTGGTGTTGATGGTGGTGGGTGGCACGTGTAGGTTGTGTTGATGGTGGTGGGTGGCACGTGTAGGTTGTGTTGATGGTGGTGGGTGGCACGTGTAGGTGGTGTTGATGGTGGTGGGTGGCACGTGTAGGTGGTGTTGATGGTGGTGGGTGGCACGTGTAGGTTGTGTTGATGGTGGTGGGTGGCACGTGTAGGTCGTGTTGATGGTGGAGCGTGGCACGTGTAGGTCGTGTTGATGATGGTGGGTGGCACGTGTTGGTGGTGTTGATGGTGGTGGGTGGCACGTGTAGGTGGTGTTGATGGTGGTGGGTGGCACGTGTAGATGGTGTTGATGGTGGTGGGTGGCACGTGTAGGTCGTGTTGATGGTGGTGGGTGGCACGTGTATGTGGTGTTGATGGTGGTGGGTGGCACGTGTTGGTCGTGTTGATGGTGGTGGGTGGCACGTGTAGGTCGTGTTGATGGTGGTGGGTGGCACGTGTAGGTCGTGTTGATGGTGGTGGGTGGCACGTGTAGGTCGTGTTGATGGTGGTGTGTGGCACGTGTTGGTTGTGTTGATGGTGGTGGGTGGCACGTGTTGGTTGTGTTGATGGTGGTGGGTGGCACGTGTTGCTTGTGTTGATGGTGGTGGGTGGCACGTGTAGGTCGTGTTGATGGTGGTGGGTGGCACGTGTAGGTCGTGTTGATGGTGGTGGGTGGCACGTGTAGGTCGTGTTGATGGTGGTGTGTGGCACGTGTTGGTTGTGTTGATGGTGGTGTGTGGCACGTGTTGGTTGTGTTGATGGTGGTGGGTGGCACGTGTTTGTTGTGTTGATGGTGGTGGGTGGCACGTGTAGGTCGTGTTGATGGTGGTGGGTGGCACGTGTAGGTGGTGTTGATGGTGGTGTGTGGCACGTGTTGGTTGTGTTGATGGTGGTGGGTGGCACGTGTTGGTTGTGTTGATGGTGGTGGGTGGCACGTGTAGGTCGTGTTGATGGTGGTGGGTGGCACGTGTAGGTGGTGTTGATGGTGGTGTGTGGCACGTGTTGGTTGTGTTGATGGTGGTGGGTGGCACGTGTAGGTCGTGTTGATGGTGGTGGGTGGCACGTGTAGGTCGTGTTGATGGTGGTGTGTGGCACGTGTTGGTTGTGTTGATGGTGGTGGGTGGCACGTGTTGGTTGTGTTGATGGTGGTGGGTGGCACGTGTTGGTTGTGTTGATGGTGGTGGGTGGCACGTGTAGGTCGTGTTGATGGTGGTGGGTGGCACGTGTAGGTCGTGTTGATGGTGGTGGGTGGCACGTGTAGGTCGTGTTGATGGTGGTGTGTGGCACGTGTTGGTTGTGTTGATGGTGGTGTGTGGCACGTGTTGGTTGTGTTGATGGTGGTGGGTGGCACGTGTTGGTTGTGTTGATGGTGGTGGGTGGCACGTGTAGGTCGTGTTGATGGTGGTGGGTGGCACGTGTAGGTGGTGTTGATGGTGGTGTGTGGCACGTGTTGGTTGTGTTGATGGTGGTGTGTGGCACGTGTTGGTTGTGTTGATGGTGGTGGGTGGCACGTGTAGGTCGTGTTGATGGTGGTGGGTGGCACGTGTAGGTGGTGTTGATGGTGGTGTGTGGCACGTGTTGGTTGTGTTGATGGTGGTGGGTGGCACGTGTAGGTCGTGTTGATGGTGGTGGGTGGCACGTGTAGGTTGTGTTGATGGTGGTGGGTGGCACGTGTAGGTTGTGTTGATGGTGGTGAGTGGCACGTGTTGGTCGTGTTGATGGTGGTGGGTGGCACGTGTAGGTGGTGTTGATGGTGGTGGGTGGCACGTGTAGGTGGTGTTGATGGTGGTGGGTGGCACGTGTTGGTCGTGTTGATGGTGGTGGGTGGCACGTGTAGGTCGTGTTGATGGTGGTGGGTGGCACGTGTAGGTGGTGTTGATGGTGGTAGGTGGCACGTGTAGGTGGTGTTGATGGTGGTGGGTGGCACGTGTAGGTGGTGTTGATGGTGGTGGGTGGCACGTGTTGGTCGTGTTGATGGTGGTGGGTGGCACGTGTAGGTCGTGTTGATGGTGGTGGGTGGCACGTATAGGTCGTGTTGATGGTGGTGGGTGGCACGTGTAGGTGGTGTTGATGGTGGTGGGTGGCACGTGTAGGTGGTGTTGATGGTGGTGGGTGGCACGTGTAGGTGGTGTTGATGGTGGTGGGTGGCACGTGTTGGTCGTGTTGATGGTGGTGGGTGGCACGTGTAGGTGGTGTTGATGGTGGTGGGTGGCACGTGTAGGTGGTGTTGATGGTGGTGGGTGGCACGTGTTGGTCGTGTTGATGGTGGTGGGTGGCACGTGTAGTTGGTGTTGATGGTGGTGGGTGGCACGTGTAGGTGGTGTTGATGGTGGTGGGTGGCACGTGTAGGTCGTGTTGATGGTGGTGGGTGGCACGTGTTGGTCGTGTTTATGGTGGTGGGTGGCACGTGTTGTTTGTGTTGATGGTGGTGGGTGGCACGTGTAGGTGTGTGGGGGGGAACGACAATAAACTCAACACAAAAAGTAGTTCTGGTGATGGTATTTGAGTGATGATGGGACAGGATTGTAATGATGCGATGTGGATGGTGGTGATGATTGTGGTGATACGTGGGTGGTGATATTAGCGTGGTTGGCTTCGTACGGTGCGAAAGAAGTTCAACATACACATATGGTGATGGGACAGGCTGATGGCATCTGGGTCTTGATGTTGAGGGTGGTGATGGGACAGGGTGATGGGATCTGGGTCTTGATGGTGGTGATGGGACATGGTGATGAAGGCGATGGTGGACGGGGTTGGAGGTGAGTTTCCTGTTCTGCCGCCATCTTGGTGTACAAGTCCAGAATGTCCACCGAGAAGGCGCCACGCGCTACCAACCAATGGGGACACCTCTCGTGCACGTGACGCTGCGTTGGTTTTCCCGAGACGGTCACGTGATCGAGCCGCTCTAAATTTAGACGAGGTCGCGAGTGACGTCACCGACGCGCACGGACTTTGAAGAGCGCGCAAGTGACGTCACAATGCGCTTTGAAGCGAGGGAGGCGTGCCGCAAAGCGGGGCGCCTTCTCTGATTGGTGGCCGAGATGAATATCAATCGATCGCCCGATTAGTTCGTGTGGAGCGGTGGCGCAGTGGTTAGCGCACTCACTACCTCGCCAAATAGACCCGAGTTCGATTCCTGGCCACGGCTCACACGGTGGTGGCGAGCGATATCTGAAGCGTCTCTCTCTCGCTGACGAGCGCAGTGCAGTATGGGCAAATGACCCTCCTACGACCGACGGGGCTTGGAGAGGCCTTCAACCAGCAGCGGATTGACACACACGGTCCGGCAACGTTTGTGTATTTATATTTAGGAAAAGCCCGCCGAGTCTCAAGACTCGCTGTCAGGATGTCTGTCCAACCCGAGTCACGCCGAGTTACTGACACCCCCCCGACCTCCCCCCCCTCATCCTCCCGTCGTCATGGTAGCGGGAGCTGCTGAGTGGCTGCTGCGTTTCCGTGGCAACTGGGCGCCCCTGCACCCCCCCCTCGCCCCCTCGCGGAAATGCGGCATCCTCTTACCGGCGGTGGGGCGGGGGGAGGGAGCAAGTCGGGGATGTCCGAGGGGGGAGGGGCGGGGCACGATGGGGGGGGGGGAATGGGGTGAGGGGCGGGGCACAGAGGGGGGTGAGGCACGGTGGGGGTGGTGGTTTGTCCGAGGGGCGTGAGGGGCGGGGCGCTGGGGGGAGGTGGGTGGGGTGGGTGGTGGGCAGGGAGAGGTGGGGGCGGTTCCTTGTAGAGGAATTAATAATGGGGGTTGGCGCGTGGCGAGACCCATCCCCCCACCCCCGGGGGGGGGGGGGGTCTAGGATGAGGGTGACCTTGAAATCAGGGAGGTCAATTAAACAGCGAGGTCCTCTCGTGGACAGCACGCGGCTGCTGTACAGAGAGAGAGAGAGGAAGAGGGACGGGAGTGGGGGGCTGGGGGGAGCGGAGGGTTCTGTTCACCGGACGAGAGGCGGCTCCCGAACCCACACGGCTCCGTCGGCCTCACGCCCTCACAGCGGCGGGAGCCTCGATCATGATCGGGCAGAGCCAAGCGACACCGCCGTGGTGCCGGCTTCTTCCGCGCTTGGCGGGGCTCTCATCAGCAGCCCCCCCGCCCGCCACGCACGGGGTTGTTGACTCGCGCCGGGGAGCGGAACCAAGTGAAGTCACCGACACAAAAGGCAGTCCGCGTACGGCCACTGTCTCTATTGTGACTTTATTATTATTGTTGTTGTTATTGTTGTTGTTATTGTTCTAATTAAGAGAGCAGACGGAGGCAGAACGAGAGAGGAGGAGGAAGCGTTATGCGGTTACTACACGACACTTGAAAAAGGAAATTAATAATTAATTTCGCGGCCCCAAATTGCAATTCGATTAATTGCAACAATTCAGGCACACGATTCGATTAAATTATCGATCAATTTTTTTTCGAACGGTAACCGTCCCGTCTGTATTGTCTGTCTCGTGAGTTCAGACAAAGTCAAGCGAGACAGAACAAGAGACAGAGCCAGCCACAGTCAAATAATGGGTGGGGGGGGGGGGTCAGGGTGGGGGGAGAGGGCTGTGGGAGGGAGAGGGATCGTGAATCGTTAAGTGCCCCGTGCTCTGGGTTAATGTAACGATGCAGGAGGGGGCGGGGGGGGGGAGTGGGGGGCAGGCGGGGCAATTGACCCTCCACCCTCCCCCCACTTTCAAACAATTATTAAAATAGATTTTTTTTGGGGGGGGAGTGGATGACAGTGGGTTAATCAAGCTCTACATCACAACAACATCATCATCATCGCGTAACAGCAGATGCCAGTGTGTGTGTCTTTGTATCTGCATGTGTCAAAGTGCGTTTGTGCGCATCTGTATCTCTGCGAGTGTATCTGCGTTGCATGTACTGATTGTTGAACTTCTTTCGCACCGTACGTAGCCAACCGTGCTAATCGGAGTTGCGAAGTGTTGTTGTGTCCGTGTCTTTGTATCTGGAAAGGCTGCACAGGGGATGTTTGTCTTTGCTGTGTGTGAATGTGCATCTGTGTTTGTGTGTGAATGTTTGTGTGTGAATGTTTGTGTGTATGTATGAGGGGGCTAAACGGGCGCGGCACGGGCTAGAGAAGAGATGGAGTGATGTGGTACAGGAGGATGTGGAGCCGAGTGGGCTTGCCGATGACCGATACCAGCGGTGTCACGATCGGCCTCTGCGGTCGAGGAGGTTCGTGAAGGACGCTGCTGCTACTGGGCAGTTGGAGGCAGTCGCCCTCCAGCAGCGGAGGGCGGAGGAGCGACGCTCACAACAACGAGCCGAGCGCTGGGCGGTAAACAGTCAGCGAGCTGGCACAGTAGGGATCACAGGTGGTGCATCTGCCAGCCATCTCTGAACGAGTACATTTGAAGGTCGCACTCATTACACACAAAGTGCTTGCCACTAACGAACCACAATGCCTTGCAGATCTCGTTAAGGAGCATAAACCATCACCACGCGAACTCCGCTCATCCTAATAGCGGCTTTTGGCTCAGCCATCGAACAAAGGCGGTCACCGCATCGCGCGCTTTCGGATGCGCTTTTGTGGCCGTCTGGAACGCTCTTCCTTCCGATATTAGGAAACCACCGGAGCTATGCACTTTTAAATCATTATCTAGATTGAAAACTTTTTTCTTTCGAACTGCGTTTTGTGTTCAGTTTGCTAGCGCGGTTGACTACGTACGGTGCAAAAGAAGTTCAACATACATACACCTCAGTCAGTCAACCCATAACACCTGGGCCTGTCCCGTGACCTCCACCAACGAGCCTTCGACATTTCACGTGACGGCCTCAAGGTGCACCTAGCCTGGCACAAGCAATACAACCGTGAATGGCGGTTGTTGTTGTTGTTGTTGCACGGAAGCGGTGGCGCAGCGATGAGTGCACTGCATTCCGACCCGAGCTCACTTCGCCAGTGCCGAATATTCGAACCGGTCCCGGGCCACTCCTAGGTCGCCTCAGCCTTCAATGAGTACCTGGTGCGGTGTGTAAATATCAGCACTGAGGAGACAAAGCCGGCGGGGCGTAGTGCTGACCAAAGACCTCCTCTTGTGCCGCGCCGTGCCTTTATAGGTGCTACTCACTCATAGCACTTGCCCTGTCAAAGTCTACCTGGGACGGATCGTTGTCTTTGTGCGTCGTCTGCACGAGCACGCGGTCGCATTTCATCTTGACACGAGCGTCGATACGGCTACGTCACTGGCGCGCAAGTGAAAGTCACTTTGCGTCTCATTTGGGAAGAGCCGCGCGTGTGTCGGGTGTCGGGCCCGCATCACAAACAGCGGCTGATCACGGCACCGAACTGCGTGAGTTTGCGGGACGTGGTGGTGGTAGAGGAGGAGTTGGGGGGGGAATTGATTGGTATGAGTGGGTGGGTAGGGGTCGGTGGGTAGGGGTCGGTGGGTAGGGGTCGGTGGGTAAGGGTCGGTGGGTAGGGATGGGTGGGGGGTGATTGGTCGGAATTCAACGCAAGCCAATGAACGCGACGCGTCGCCACGTGGAGTTTCGATGAGAGGCGGCCTCTACGTTGCGCGTCTCGGGCACGCGGTGGGGCCCGGTTGGCTCGAATCCGAGGGAGAGGGGCAAGTTCCAGTCGCAATTCACACTCGGAGGGAATGACGGCCCCTAATTAATTAAATAGCGCTAAATCACCTTGTCAATTACGATTTAGTAAAGGAATCGAGGACTCGGGTTTCACCGAAGCTTGCGCTTGGCCGGTTCGCGGCGTTCGGTGCGGGCCCGCTGATCGTCCCCTCGTGCGACGAGCCTGCTCACGCCACGTGACCCAGTTTCCACACGCGCATACTTAACCGTTAATTGCTGCTGTTGTTGTTGTGATTATTGGTCTATATTTGTTTTGATGCGACTGTGAGTTCGAGGCTGCGCCTGCTGTCGCGGTCGCGCCTCCTCGTCGCGGGGCTGGAACGGAACGACGGGGACTGGAACGAGACGAGAGGAACTGGAGGGGGAAGGAGTGGGGGGGGGGGGGGGTGTAGGGAACAGAGACACGGGAACGTCGATGTGAGCGCTGCATCGAGAGAAAAAAACAGAGAATAGAAAGTTACATTTTGATTTGAATATAGAAAAACGTAAACAGAAAAGGGGAACAGCAAGAGAACAGAACAATGAATTAGAGGAACGTACGGGCAAAGGAACACAAAGAACAGGTCGAGGAACAGTGAGCGAGACACCAAGAGAGGAACAGAGACGTGGACACAGAGAGACAGGGCAGGGAGCACAGGGAACCCGAGATGCATGACCAGAGCGGAACACAGAGGAACAACACCGTGACCACGATCAGAAGAGAGCTGAACAGAGATAGGGGATCACTCGGAGAGAGATCAACAGCGACACGGAGAGTCATTCTGCGTCTCCCTCTCTCACACACACACCAACACCGGTGCACACATCACATCACACATCACCACCACAAAGCACGTGACATCACTCACCCGCCCATCACTGCGTGGCGCGCTGTCTCAGTGCCGAGTCGTGCCTGGCGTCAGCGCCGCTTTTCCTACAAATAAATAATAGTAGCCATCAATTAACAACGCACGTGCGATTGTGTGAACGAACGCGGCCATTACCAGAGATGTGCATCACGTGCTCGTCAACTCATTACAGGAGATGTACTAATGTAATATCGCATCGTTTTTCAGCACTTTTTCCATTTCTTTGGTAACGCCGTTGTATTTGCCATTATTTATCTTTGCTGGTCTCTGCTCTAATCTCTATTTGTTTAATCGCTGTCCTCATTGCTTTCGTCAACCTGGTGACCAGGTCACTCTTCACATGAGATTCTATCCTGGTCTCTTGAGTTCTTCTCACCTGATTATACAAAATCATCTTAAGACTTTTAACTCGCGACATACCAGACATGTATTTGCATTGGGCTTCACTTGTCAACAGTACATATGTAAACACATCCAGTTGCCGTGAAAATATTGGTAGACATTTTTTTCAGATTACATTTTTTACATCAAGATCGACATTTTGTAAAAAAAAAAAGTGTTTTTAGGCGTCCATTTTATATAATTTACAGCCATCTTGATTTGTGCCACGTGGCACCCACAATTTGTGACTTGTTGACACATCTCCTCTGGCCTTGTCGGGACACAGATTGCTTGCGGTTGAGATATTGAGCCTCCGTTTATATGCGGTAACGATAAAGTTTGATATACTTTACAAAAATAGACGCTTGCCAAAGACAGGCTATACTATTCAAAATATCGACCAAATGTTTGGTGCTGAAATTAACCTCTAAGTCCGGCTAGTAAAATCCAATAGCCATGATACCTCGCAACAGCGTAGTGAGTTTTAATATATATGCATATATATTACAACACTACTTTTTGTGTTGAACGAGGGCCCCATCGTGAACGTTGTTTAGCCAGCCTGACACTGCTGTTAAAGCAAAATGGGCAGGGCGTGTCATGACAACAGCTGACGAGAGACGAGAGACAAAAGTAATTCTGCTCTATTAGAGTGGAGGCCGGACAGCGAGGGGGGGGGGCAGACAGGGGTAGGACAAGAGCAGAGGAGGAGAGGGGACACGAGTGGCAGGAGGAAACGGAGAACACGGCAGTCGGAAGTTACCGGCGAGCAGCAACAACAACCCTGCTGATGAGAGCCAGAAAGTCTGAACCGGCCCACACTTTGCTTGCTTGCCAGACAAATGCGGCTGGTTAACATTGGTCTGGAAAGCCGATTGGCTGATGATGGACTGAAGCATGACCAATTATCTTGAGACGTGGAAGTCGGTTAAATTGATTTATTTACTCGGCTATCACGCGTCACCCACAATGCATCGATAACACCATCGTACATTTCGTCAGCGTCGAGGTTTTTGATCACCACGGTAAGCGCCTGGGGAACTCGCGGTGCCACGGGGTCATCATCTGCTCGTGGGATCACCGGGTCATGCAGGGAGAGTCGCGATCATGGGGGTCACAGGAGGGGGGGGGGGAGCGATCAGGGGTTAAAAGGGGTCACAGGGGGTCAAACAGGGGTCACGGGGGAGGAGACGATAATTAATTTGAAAGCAGGCCTCCTTGTGACTCCACGCACGACCAGGGAACAACATTCACTGCAACGAGGTGAAACCTCATTACGACCACAGCAGCGACGAGCTTAAATGTCAGACGCGCAGAGCCGCTGTACAACGTGCATGGCTGGAGCGACGACGAACGTCCTGTTTGGCGAACAGCTGTGACACAGGGCCCCTCATGTACGCGTGGGCTTGGCCCCGGATTTATGGGTGCCCTTTGTAAACGCGCACTGGGCGTGCATTTGCGCTGTGTTCGTGTGAGTGGCTATGCTTTGACCCCTATGATTTTGGGTGTCCTTTGTAAAATATGCATGCGTGGGTGTGGCTCTCGCATGTTCGTGGGTATGGCCTTTCAACCTTCACCCTCCCTACCTGCCGTGTTTTCTTTGGGGTGTCCTTTGTTTGTGTGGCTTTGGCCCTTGTATATGTTAGGCGTCCTTTGTAAAGATGCACACTTTACTTTGTTCCCTCTCCAGCATGGGGAGGGTGGTGTCCTTGGGACAAGCGGCTCACTGGCAAACCCCCTCTCTCTCCCCTCTCTCTCTCTCTCTTTTTACGATCAGAGGAAATAATAAGATGCTCGGTTGAGGTGGCACTTTGCTTCGTTCATCAATTCGTTTTTTTCATTGCTTTTCCTTATGTGCTCCCCCCTCCCTTTTTAAATGAAATATTTTACGTGTTTTACCATTGTGCAACAGTATCAATCTGTGCTACTTTGATAGACACAAAGATCAACACGAAGAAGCACACTCTGTTCCTCCTTCTTACCCCTTCCCCATCTCTCTACCCCTCTCTCTCTCTACCCCCTCTCTCTCTCTCTACCCCCTCTCTCTCTACCCCCTCTCTCTCTCTCTACCCCTCTCTCTCTCATCCTCCTCTCTCTCTTACCCCTTCTCTCTCTCTACCCCCCTCTCTCTCTCTACCCCTCGCTCTCTCTCTACCCCCCTCTCTCTCTACCCCCTCTCTCTCTCTATACCTCTCTCTCTCTCTACCCCCTCTCTCTCTCTACCCCCCTCTCTCTCTCTACCCCCTCTCTCTCTCTACCCCCTCTCTCTCTCTACCCCCTCTCTCTCTCTACCTCTCTCTCTCTCTACCCCCTCTCTCTCTCTACCTCTCTCTCTCTCTACCCCTCTCTCTCTCTACCCCCTCTCTCTCTCTACCCCCTCTCTCTTTCTCTACCCCTCTCTCTCTCTATCCCCTCTCTCTCTACCCCCTCTCTCTCTACCCCCTCTCTCTTTACCCCCTCTCTCCCTACTCTCTCTCTCTATGTTCCCCCTGTTCTCTATGTAATAAAAACAAATTAAACGACAACAAGTGCTGCATCTGCACCCAGCCCTTCTCGCAGTCCTACGGCCTCCAACGGGTAGCTCATAATCTGCATGCAGAGCTCCCCGTCTTCTGCCACTGAGAACACGGCCTCCTCCAGCGCCCACTGCTCCTTGAAGGCCGGCATGGCGTGGGTCAGCTGCGCATGGCGGAACTCCAGCCACACCCTGGCTCCGACCAGGGCGTGGAAGATGCCCAGGCTGCTGGCCGGACGTTTCCCCTCCACGGCCACCTTCCTCGCCCTGTACATGGCGAGCTTGGCGTAGCCGACGAGCACGTTGACCTGCCCCTGAAGATGTTGTGATCGATCGCCCTTCGGGTGTCCAAAGATGAGGACCGTCGGGGAGAAGTGGAGGCTGAACCTTAGGAGGATGTTTTTGAGGACCTTGAATAGCGAGTCCAGGCTCTTGCACTCCACATATTGGTGCACCACTGTCTCCACTTTACCGCAGAACCGGCACTCCGGGGATGTGTCGTGAAGCGCGCCAGGGAGGCGTTGGTGGTGACGGTGCCTTGGGCGATTCTCCAGCTGAGGTCGCCGATGCGATTGTACGTCAGGCTGGAGTAGAGTTGCCTCCAGAGAGGCCTCTCCGGAGAGATGCAGGGCAGGGCTTCCCTCCATGGTCATTGTGGCTCCTCAGGGCATCCTGTTGGTGAAACTGGACCATGTAGGAGTAGAGCACCTTCCTCTTGATGTTTGTGAAGGCCACCTCTGGTAGGTCTTCCAGCTGGCACAGGTCATGATCTGCCTTTGTTTGTCGGCATTGGCGATGCAGCGGCACGACGGAGAGCTCCGGTGGAGGGGGACCGAGAGGGGCCTCGTCATCCCCGATGCCGATGGGGGGCGTTCTCCCTGCTGCCGCTGAAAAGGCCCCCTTGGCTTCGGTCAAAATCCGGGCAGCCACCCAGAGCGACTGAAGCCCTGTCTTTGCGGCCATCTCGGGCGGTCCGAGCCACCGGCCCCGTGTTCTGGGCTCCACCAGATCTCCTGGTCAGCCGTGCGTTGGCGAGGCACCTCTCCATGCCAGGGGTGGTGGTGGTGGATGGCAGCTTTGTCTGCGGGTCCCTGAGGATCGGTTCGAAGACCAGATCCTCGGCCGATCACGGCTGGTTCAGCCTCCTGACGGCGAGGGAGCTCCATGTCTGCAGGACGCTCCTGTAGAAAGGTGGCAGCTGTCCCAGTGGGAGGCCCTGCAGGTCTATGTAGAATAGTTGTTTGGAGCACTGCAGAGCCCCCAGCTGTTTCAGGAGGAAGGAGGCCGTGACGTTCCAGGCCGGTGCAGGGGCGGCGTGCAGGAACTTTTGCGCGGCCTGCAGTCGGAAGGTGGCCAGCTGACTCCGCACGCACACCAGCCCGTGACCGCCCTCGTCCAGTGGCAGGGCCAGGACCCCAGCCGCGACCCGGTGTCCTCCGCCCGACCAGAAGAAGTCGAGGACTCGCTTCTGAAGCGCGTTGACGAGGCTCATGGGGGGGGGGGGGGGGGTGCAGGGAGAAGAGTCGGTGCCACAGCATGGACATCACCAGCTGGTTCACCACCAACATCTTTGTCCTGAAGGTGAGGAACTTGCACAGGCGATTCCAGGTGTCCAGCCGCTCCTTCACCTTCTCCTCCAGCTCGACTCAGTTCCTCTGCGGTGGTTCCTCCTCTTATCCCAGGAACACCCCCAGGTGGTGCAGCAGCGATGGTGCGCTCCAATTTATGGCTTTTGCTTTCTGGGGACACTCGGTCATGTCCCACGCTCCAACCAGGAGCCCGCTGCACTTTTGCCAGTTCATTTTTGATGAGGAGGCCTTCGTAAAGACCTCCTGGCACTCATGCAGCAGGGCGACATCATCCAGAAAGCGCAGGATGAGGAGGACGTCGTCGGCGTATGCCGTCAGGACCAAATTTGACGCTTGGTTCCACTCTCCCTCTCTCTCTCCTACACTCACCTCCCACTCTCCCCACTCATCTCTCTCTCCTCCCTCCCTCCCTCTCTCTCTCTCCCTCAATCTCTCCCACTCCTCACTTTCCCCTCTCTCTCCCTCCCTCTCCTCACTCTCCCTCCCACTTGCCCTCCATCTCTCCTCACTCTCCCACTCCTCTCTCCCACTCCCCTTCCTCCCTTCCTCTCACTCTCCCTCCCTTTCTTCCACTCCCTCCCTCACCCCCTCCCTCTCTCCCACTCTCTCATCACCCTCTCCCCCCCACTCCCTCTGGCCGCGTCCGCCTCTCACCGGCCCCGTTGGCGAGCCTCTTCCTGGCCACCTGCCTGCGCTCGTACACCAGGATGGCGCCCGTCAGCAGCACCACTTCGCCCACGATGCCCAGGAAGGGCCACAGCGCGGCCAGGTGGGCCCTGACGCGCAGCGACACCTGCCCGGACCCCCACGCGGGGCCCTCATCCGCGACCCCCCCCTCCTCCACCTCCGCCGCACCGGTAGCGAGCCGCGCGGCCACGCTCGCGTTGCACACGTAGAGCCCCGAGTCCCGGCTCGACACGAGTGGGGGGCCCAGGCGAAGCTCCGAGCGGCGCCCCCCATTCAACACCACCACCACGGCGCGGCCCTGACACAGAGGGGGGGCGGGGGGGGGGAGGGGCGGGAGTGGGGGAGGGGGTGAAACCTGTGGCGTTAATTTCTGACCAGTAAATGCTTCTGCACCCTGCACACCACATCCATACTTCTTCCGCCCACACTCCGACCTTACCTCCGATACCTCCGATATCGCACGACCGATTTTGTCCAGGTCACAAAGGCCTCCTTTACTCGGGTGACCTAACAACAGGTGAGAGGTCCTACTAGCCAGGTGCGGTATAGTCAAGTGGCCCGGTTCAAGCGAGCTCGAGCCTGCTGATGAGACACCAAGCGCCGAAACCAGTCCACGGGCTTGGTTGTGCCGAACCAAAGGTGCTGAAATGATGTACTTGCAGAAGGCCGGGTGGCTAATGGGATGTGTAAGGAAAATACAACGCTCGAATTTTGTATTTTGTATTGTGGAAACACGGTGAGGGGGGGGGGGGGGGCGTGTGGTCTACGTGTCAGGGTTGACTCCCGTGACCCGCGGGGTGAGTCACGTGACCCCAGGGTCTCTCACCGCCTCCGCGTCTCCCGTGCCCGAGTCCTCACCAACCTCCTCCCCGTCCCGCACAGAGCCGATCACCTGGGACGAGGGACGGAGGGAGGGAGGGAGGGAGGACACATAAGGGAATGTACGGGTCCTCCTCCTGAATGGTGCCCACCTGCAGGTTGCCCACCCTGCAGTGTGTCCACCTGCAGTGTCCACCTGCAGTGTCCACCTGCAGTGTGTCCACCTGCAGTGTCCACCTGCAGTGTGTCCGCCTGCAGTGTCCACCTGCAGTGTGTCCACCTGCAGTGTCCACCCCGCAGGGTGCCCGCGTGCAGGTTGTCCACCCCGCAAGGTGCCCACCTGCAGTGTCCACCTGCAGTGTCCACCTGCAGGGTGCCCACCTGCATGGTGCCGTCGTGCTGCTGGCGGTGCCAGGTCCACGCGGCGGGGGGTGGGTAGGTGCGTGCGTCACAGCGCAGGGACACCGAGCCCCCCTCGTCCGCGCTCTCCGATGCGTGGGGCGCCTCCACCACCAACGGCGCTGGAGGGGGAGCGGGGGGAGTGCAGTCAGCGTCGTCGTCGTCATCGTCGTCATCGTCGTCGTCATCATCGTCGTCATCATCGTCGTCATCGTCGTCGTCGTCATCGTCGTCGTCATCGTCGTTGTCGTCGTCATCGTCGTCATCATCGTCGTCATCGTCGTCGTCGTCGTCATCATCGTCGTCGTCGTCATCGTCGTCATCGTCGTCGTCATCGTCGTCGTCGTCATCGTCGTCAAGACAGGGGCGAGGAGGGGTCCATGATTTACGTGTAGGGCCCCCAATGGGCCAGCACATGAGATGTGTGAAGGGTAAACGTGCCAGGGGTCAGTGTGTTAGAGGTCAAGAGGTCACGATGTCGGTGTGACCGAGGTCAGAATTCGGCGTGTCAGAGGTGAGCGCGACAGCGGTCGGCATACGTTGGTGGTGAGGGGCACTGTGTCGTCAGAGGTTGCGAGGTGTTAGGGGTCACGGGGTCATGGGGAGTGGGGGGGGGGGTCACCATTGACGGCGATGGAGCTGTTGACGGGCGGCTCGGTGTGGAAGGCGCACGTGTAGAGGCCCGAGGCACTGTAGTCCGTCACCTCGATGCTGCGGCGAGACACGGAGCACGGGACATGGGTCACGGCACACGGGACAAGGGTCACAGGTCACGGGACATGGGTCACGGGACATGGGTCACGGGACATGGGTCACGGGACATGGGTCACGGGTCACGGGTCACGGGACACGGGTCACAGGTCACGGGACATGGGACATGGGTCACGGGTCACGGGACAAGGGACATGCGGCCGCAGGAGCAATTGCAGGGGCTTCGCCTTTACCTTCTGAGGTAACGGGAGACAAATGATAAACCACGCGGTGCCTTGGGGCTGCCGCCATGCCGTTTGTACGTTGCCTTACAGTGCCAATTATTGTGCGCACTCCATGTCCAACAATGCACCGGGCATCGGTTCCCGGGTCCTGAAAACGGCCCCGGTTTGCACGGTCACCGGTTTAACTGCGTCAAACAAAGAAGAGATGCACAGCTCATCGGATTCCTCCACGACGAAGACTCCATTCCGTATTCCACCGTCGTCCCACCCCCACCGCCACCCCCCCCCCTGCCCGCCGGGGCGAGCGACACCGCGGACGTCACGGGCGCGACACCGCGTGGCATTCACGCCACGTGCAGCCCGAGTCGCTGCTGCTGCGGCTGCTGCTGAAGCCTCGGGGCCCCGGGATGGATGAGCGGGGCTCGGGCAGCTGGGAGGAGGGCGGTGGTCTCTGGAGAGCGGTGGCGCAGCGGTGAGCCTCACCCGCGCGACGTTCAACTTCTTTCGCGCCGTACGTAAGCAGCACCGTGCCAATCGCGGCCAACGACGACGCGTCGGCGGTGATGATGATGATGCGGGCAGGAGGGCGACCGTGAAATCAAAACTATGGACCGGAGAGTAAACCCACAGAGACCCATAGAGACTCATAGAGATGCATTCAAGACGACCACACACACACCCCACTACTCACCACTACTCACACCACTTCTCACCACACACACCACTTCTCACCACACACACCACTACTGACCCCACTCCTCACCACTACTCACCACGCTCACACCACTACTCACCACTCCTCACCACACACACACCACTACCCACCACACTCACACCACTTCTCACCACACACACCACTTCTCACCACACACACCACTACTGACCCCACTCCTCACCACTACTCACCACGCTCACACCACTACTCACCACTCCTCACCACACACACACCACTACCCACCACGCTCACACCACTCCTCACCACACACCCCACTCCTCACCACTACTCACCACGCTCACACCACTACTCACCACTCCTCACCACACACACACCACTACCCACCACGCTCACACCACTCCTCTCCACTACTCACCACGCTCACACCACTTCTCACCACACACATCACTACTCACCACACACACCACTCCTCACCACGCTCACACCACTCTCACCACACACACCACTACTCACCCCACTACTCACCACGCTCACACCACTCCTCACCACTCTTAACCACACACACCCCACTCCTCACCACACACACACCACTCCTCACCACACACACACCACTCCTAACCACACACCCCACTCCTCACCACACACACACCACTCCTCACCACACACACACCACACACACCCCACTTCTCACCACACACACACCACTCCTAACCACACACACCACACACACCCCACTCCTCACCACACACACACACCACTCCTAACCACACACAATAAATAAATATCGCGCATGCGCACCGAGCACCGCGACCCCAGCTCCAGCCGCGGCGTTTGCCGCCTCCATCGCCCCCACGTGGCGAGTCGGCGTCGGTGCCGGCTCCACGACACCCACCGCGACCCCCACGCGCTCCGCGGTGCCGCCAACAGCAACAGCAGCAGCCCACCTCGGACTGGTGGGGGCCCGAGTGGGTGGTGGACGGACGAGTGAGTGAGTGGGTGAGTGGGTGGGTGAGTGAGTTGATGAATGAGTGAGTGGGTGAGTGAGTGAGTGGGTGAGTGAGTGGGTGGGTGAATGTAAGGATGGGTGATTGAGTTGGTGAATGAGTGAGTGGGTGAGTGGATAAGGGTAGTGAGGAGGTGAATGGGTAGGCGAGTGAGCGTATGGGGTGTGAGTGGATGCGTTTGTAAGTAGGAGGGTGAATGAGTGAGTGGGGGTGTGGGTAGGTGAGTGGGTTAATGAGTGAGTGCGGGTGTGGGTAGGCGAGTGGGTGAATGAGTGAGTGGGGGTGTGGGTAGGTGAGTGGGTTAATGAGTGAGTGCGGGTGTGGGTAGGTGAGTGGGTGAATGAGTGAATGGGGGTGTGGGTAAGTGAGTGGGTGAATGAGTGAGTGGGGTGTGGGTGAATGAGTGAATGGGGGTGTGGGTAAGTGAGTGGGTGAATGAGTGAGTGGGGGTGTGGGTAGGTGAGTGGGTGAATGAGTGAGTGGGGTGTGGGTAAGTGAGTGGGTGAATGAGTGAGTGGGGGTGTGGGTGAATGAGTGAGTGGGGGTGTGGGTAAGTGAGTGGGTGAATGAGTGAGTGGGGGTGTGGGTAAGTGAGTGAGTGGGGGTGTGGGTAGGCGAGTGGGTGAATGAGTGAGTGGGGGTGTGGGTAAGTGAGTGGGTGAATGAGTGAGTGGGGGTGTGGGTAAGTGAGTGAGTGGGGGTGTGGGTAGGCGAGTGGGTGAATGAGTGAGTGGGGGTGTGGGTAAGTGAGTGGGTGAATGAGTGAGTGGGGGTGTGGGTAGGCAAGTGGGTGAATGAGTGAGTGGGGTGTGGGTAAGTGAGTGGGTGAATGAGTGAGTGGGGGTGTGGGTAGGCGAGTGGGTGAATGAGGGAGTGGGGGTGTGGGTAAGTGAGTGGGGGTGTGGGTAGGCGAGTGGGTGAATGAGTGAGTGGGGGTGTGGGTAAGTGAGTGGGTGAATGAGTGAGTGGGGGTGTGGGTAGGCGAGTGGGTGAATGAGTGAGTGGGGTGTGGGTAAGTGAGTGGGTGAATGAGTGAGTGGGGGTGTGGGTAGGCGAGTGGGTGAATGAGGGAGTGGGGGTGTGGGTAAGTGAGTGGGGGTGTGGGTAGGCGAGTGGGTGAATGAGTGAGTGGGGGTGTGGGTAAGGGAATGCGTGAGCGAGCAAGAGACAGGTTTGCCACCTTTTCCACTGCAGACCAAACCGGGACACGTTTCTCAGCACGAGGTCTCGTCTCAACACTGTGCCGTGTTCATCTTCATTCCTCTATAAGGAATTGTAATATGTATTGTCTATTACTTAATAAAACGCTTCCAAGCTTTGCTAAGTCTGTAGCTATCAGAGCGGTTAAAATTATTTGTCAACTGAGAGCAGGTATCGACTATCGCCTCTAAACTGGGACCCCCCCCCGCTCTCGCCAGCACCTCGGTGCTTGAAGTTCGCTCTTGCCACTCGATCCTCACGATTTGTCTCAAATGTCTCAGCGGTAGGGCGCGTTAGTGTCTCAGGCGTCGTCTGTAGAGTGTCACGTGTTGCTACAGAGTAGAGTCGTGCAGGAATTAGCACCTTTACTTTGGTGAATATTTAATACCATGCTGGGAACAAAGACGCGTATGTAGGTGACGGAATGTCTGAGACGCAGCTCTAAGGCGCAATGAGATCTCGGTGTCTGCAGAGTCGTCGTGAGACACTGCGCCTTCCATGTGAGTTCACACCCACCTGGGAGCTTCACCACTGACGAAGACTTCTGGGTGATTGTTGATGACATTTTGTCCGTTTGCTGGTTGGAGCAACTACTCCGTGTAACTCGAGTTGCAGCAAAACGGTGAGCGACGTCTTGAATGTCACTCCGGCTGTGAGCAACCAAAGACTGTTTCCTCGGCGAAAAATCAGTTCCCGGACACGCTGTTCTCTCACTTTGGTGTGAGCGCGTAGCCGAGACAGATTAAACAGCTTGCCGTCGCTCCGGGTTCGTATATAAATGCCGGTGCTAAGATTTACACTCGTGGCTGTGAGCCTTGCTAAGAGGAGGAGAGCGAATGGGCTGGGGGCCAGTGCACGTCCCTGTTTCACTCCATGGCCAAATGTGAAAACGAGGGTCTTGTCACAGTTCCTGCGACGGATACCCGACCAGTCACGTTGTCACGAAACGGTCTCATGATGTCCACAAAGTGCCCTGCACATCCTACAGGCTCTGAGAACGTCGTGTTGAATGCCTTAGAGAAATCGACAACAACAAAAACCCACGAACAGACAGATCTCGGTGCTGCTCAGCCGCATCCGCCTACATCTGCCACCAGACCTCAATTCCTGACACGCGACCACAGATGCCAACTCATCCCGCAGTGTCCCGGTCAAACCCGGACAGGTGGCACCACCCTTCCAACCGGGCTCCACGCGAGCCCACGACGCCGGGGGCTTCCTTTGACCCCCAAAGTGACATTCCTCGACCACGTGACCCAATTGTGTATTTAATTAATTGCCCCCGCTCCCCGTGTGCCATAACCCACACCACATAAACCTCCCACCAAGACCCCACCCCCCAACCTTCACAGACCCCCGTACACCCCTCACCCCGTTCGCAGTGTAGGAGCCTCACCACATTGACACTGACACAGTCACTGTCCACGGACGAGTTCTCTCCCCGGTTACGGCGGGAGGCGCGAGGTGGACAGCCACACATCACCGCGCTGTTGGTGTAGGCGAGGCTCATAGATAGATGTGGGAAGGGAGGCGGGGGCGCATAGCGGTGCAGTACAACGATGGGTGTCACGTGTACAGCTGTAACAATCCTCCTCGTGGCGCATGAATACACTGCGTGGGGGGGTGGGGGGCAGAGCCGGGGATCGAACCGACGCCCACGTGGTTCGCAGCCCCTGGGGAGAGGTCACTGTGGTCGCCACAGTCGATAGAGGTGCGGGTGGGGGCTCTTGATTAGCGGGGGAGGGGCTGGAGGGGAGGGGCTGGAGGGGAGGGGGTGGAGGGGAGGGGCTGGAGGGGAGGGGGTGGGGGGGTGGAGGGGAGGGGGTGGGGGGGAGGGGCTGGAGGGGAGGGGCTGGAGGGGAGGGGCTGGAGGGGCTGGAGGGGAGGGGCTGGAGGGGAGGGGGTGGAGGGGAGGGGTGTAATTAGGGGAGAGGGTGGACAAACGCCGCACTGCTCCCAAGCCCCCCCCCCTTCACCCCCGCCCCTATAACGCCCCCCCCCTGCCCGAACTTAGCCGGGTTGGAAATGAGTTGAAGCAGGGCTGGGATAGGTGAGTGAGCGTACTGGTGAGTGTACCGAGAAGTGCACAGGTAAGCGCGGCATCGGATGAAGCCGACGGGTGAGTCTGAAGGCGAGTGGCCAGGTGGTCAGCGGTCGCCCAGGTGAGTTTACGCGTCGAGTTCCCAAGTGATTGTACAGGTGAGTTCCCAGGTGAGTTTACGCGTCGAGTTCCCAAGTGATTCTACAGGTGAGCACCCAGGTGAGTTTACGCATCGAGTTCCCAAGTGATTCTACAGGTGAGCACCCAGGTGAGTTTACGCGTCGAGTTCCCAAGTGATTCTACGGATGACTACCCAGGTGAGCACCCAGGTGAGCGATGGCCCAGGTGAGCGATGGCCAAAGTAAGTGAGCGTCCCCGTCAACGGACACAAGGGGGCACACAGGAGGGTGCCCATGGGAATGAATGCCCTGGTGAATGTAGAGGTGAGTGTAGAGGTGAGTGTAGAGGTGAGTGTAGAGGTGAGTGTAGAGGTGAGTGTAGAGGTGAGTGTAGAGGTGAGTCTCGAGAGGTTCGAGGCGAGTCTGGAGGCGAATCTAGAGGCGAGTGGAGAGGAAAGTGAGTCGAGGTGAGTGCGTCTAGAGGTGAGTCTCAAGGCGAGTGAGAATAGAGATGAGTGTAGATGTGAGTGTAGAGGTGAGTGTAGAGGCGAGTGGAAAAGCGAGTGAGTCGAGGCGAGTGTAGAGGCGAGCGCGTCACCACCTGTAGGTGGTGGTGAGGCTGGCAGAGTCGTCCTCGCTGCCCGGCAGGGCCTTCCCGTCCTTGAGCCACGCGTGGCCCAGCACGTGGAGCCCCGCGGCCGCGGACAGCTCGCAGCGCAGGCTCACGGGACGTCGATCGCGGCCGGACCCCGACAGCTGCACCGCGGGGGACGTCCTGATCTCCGGGTCTAGGTGGGGTCGGGTAGGGCAGGGCCGGCGAGTAGGAGAGGGACGAGTTCAAGACGGGCTCTCGGGTCGCGCTGGTCGGTTGGAATAGGTGGAAGGAGACCCGGAGGCAGTGCCGGATTATCCTCGTAACATGTGTAGTAGCTACACGTGTAGTAGCCGGATTATCCTCGTAACGTGTAGTAGCTACTACACGTGTAGCAGCTACTACACGTGTTACGAGGCTAATCCGGCACTGCCTCCGGGTCTCCTTCCACCTATTCCAACCGACCAGCGCTGGCCCAACATTCGATGTTTAGTAGCTACTACACGTGTAGTAGCTACTGCACGTGTAGTAGCTACATGTACAGTAGCTACTACACGTGTAGTAGCTACTACACGTGTAGTAGCTACTGCACGTGTAGTAGCTACATGTACAGTAGCTACTACACGTGTAGTAGCTGCTACACGTGTAGTAGCTACATGTACAGTAGCTACGGGCCCCGCACTTTCAAGGGCCCCGCGCTAAATGCTTTCAAGCTATCAATTCCGGTTCAGTGATTTTGCACTTGCTCTATTACTATAGTACTATACTACACACTGAGTGCTGTCAGCGAGCTCCTGTTCAGGTCGGCGTGGGAGTGCAACGCGGCCTTCGCGGCGTGACGCGGGCAGAAGAAGGAGAAGGCGAGATGACGATGACCCAATAAACATCGAATGTTGGGCCAACGTCGGACCAACATTTCTAACAAACATGCCAACGTTGGGCTAACGTTGGCATGTTTAGTGGAGATGCGGCGCGACACTCCTAGACAGCGTGCAGGGCTGTTCCTGATGGGTTTAAGTACTGAACCCCCCAACCCCCCTCCCCTCGTGAAGGATACAAAAGAGGAGGGGGGCGGGGCGATGGGGGAGACCCATCTGCCTTTGCGACGCCATAAAATTATAATTTAAACATTCATTTCGTTATCGCGCCGCCACGATTGGTTTGGAAGCGAGAGGGGAAAAGAGAAAAATTTGGGACTGTCCCCCGCCCCCTCCCTCCTCTTGCCCCCCGGGAAGTTTCTGGATCCACCGCTCTCCCTACTCCCCTTCTTAGAAACCAACTCCCAACCACGCCATCCCCTTCTTCTCCACCCCCCCCCCCCCCGCCGGAACGTACGGGCGATGACGCCGATGGCCGCCTGAGCTCGCACCCATCTCGGGACAGGGAGGGGCTCTCTGCCGCGGGCCCCCATCCCGGCCCTGCGCGGGTGGTTCCTCCTGGGCGCGTTGCTGGCGCGGCACTCGTAGGTGCCCGCGTGGCGATGCGCAAGCCCCCGCAGGGTGAGGCCGCTCTGCGCGCCGCGGGGACCGTACGCGGTCACCAGCGACACGAGGCCCCCGCGGTCTCCGTCCCACAGCTGCGAGAAGATCCGGCCGTGGTGGCGTTGCCCAGGGCGGCGGCGACCACCAGCAGCCCCCCGAAGGTCCGCAAGCCCCGGTGGGCCCAACTCGCTGGGGTCGCGGTCGATGTCCGTCACGGAGAGCCAGGGGACGAGCGGCAGCGACGACGACGCTGAAGATGACGACGCTGAAGATGACGACGCTGAAGATGATGACGCAATATCTTCTTGCTGGGTCACCGTGGTGGCTTCTCTTGTTCCGAGAGCTTTTTCTCCATCAACATCATCATCGTCATCAGATTCATCGACATCGCCGTCATCTTCATCGTTGTCAACATCTTCATCATCATCACCACCACCACCACCACCATCATCGTCTTCATTGATCATGTCCCGCTGGGCCGGGGCGAACCACCACTGAACCTCTGGGGTCGGGACTCCAACCACCTCGCAGTGCAGGGTCGTGGTCTCCCCTAGCAGCAGCGACTGGGACAGCGGGGATCTCACGAAGCCGGCTTTGGGGGTTAAGGGTCAAGAGATCGGGGTGAAGGGGCATGGTGGGGGTCGGTCAAAGGTCAAGGAAGGTTCACCGGGAGTTCAGGAGGACCACGGGGTGGGTCGGGGTCGTGGGGCGTGGTGGTTGATGGCCGTGGTAGTGAGGCGCACAGGTAGGGGATGATAGAGGTGAGCGGAAAGGTATAGATATGGGTGTTACAGGTGCACAGACAAGGGGTGATGCAGGTGAGTCAGCAGCAGGTATAGGAAGGAGCGGACAAGCAAAAGAGACAAGATTAGTTTAATAAAACAAGTCATTAAGAAATGATGAGACCATGACCTAGGAGTTGAAAATTGGGTTCCTAGTGGTGCTGCGAAGTGGCGATGACACGGCCATTACGAGACCCTTGAGAGAGAGACCCAAACCTCGGGCTTGCACCTTCCTGGCGGTGTCGCAGGGCCTCTGAAATGGCCATTGTGAACATGCCCTGATAAACACGCGCCCTCACCCAGTGCATGAACCCATTTCAGCAGTGCTGGATCGATGCCTCTTACGCAGCCATTGTGAACCTATTAAGACTGGCGTCATAACCCACGGGGCTTGACCAACGCAGACTCTCAACACCGCTGGCTTAGTGACTCTGACACGGCCATTGTGAACTTGACAGTGGCGTAGTGATGACATTATCAGTGGCGTAGTAACGACATGATCAGTGGTGTAGTGATGACATTATTAGTTGCGTAGTAACTACATTATCAGTGGCGTAGTAACTACACTATCAGTTGCATAGTAACTACATGATCAGTGGTGTAGTGATGACATTATCAGTTGCGTACTAACTACATTATTAGTGGTGTAGTAACTACATTATCAGTGGTGTAGTAGCTACATTATCAGTGGTGTAGTAACTACATTATTAGTAGCATAGTAACTACATTATTAGTTGCATAATAACTACATTATCAGTGGCGTAGTAACGACGTTATCAGTGGCGTAGTAACTACATTATCAGTGGCATAGTAACTACACTATCAGTGGCGTAGTAACTACATTATCAGTGACGTAGTGACTACATTATCAGTGGCGTAGTAACTACACTATCAGCAGCATAGTGGCGACATCAGTGGCGTAGTAACTACATTATAAGTGGTGTAGTAACTACATTATCAGTGACGTAGTGACTACATTATCAGTGGCGTAGTAACTACACTATCAGCAGCATAGTGGCGACATCAGTGGCGTAGTAACTACAGTATAAGTGGTGTAGTAACTACATTATAAGTGGCTTAGTGACGGCATTATTAGTTGCGTAGTAACTACATTATTAGTTGCGTAGTAACTACATTATCAGTTGCGTAGTAACTACATTATCAGTTGCGTAGTAACTACATTATCAGTTGCGTAGTGACGACATTATCAGTTGCGTACTAACTACATTATCAGTGGTGTAGTAACTACATTATCAGTGGTGTAGTAACTACATTATCAGTGGTGTAGTGACTACATTATCAGTGGTGTAGTAACTACAGTATCAGTGGTGTAGTAACTACATTATCAGTGGCGTAGCGACTACATTATCAGTGGCGTAGTGACTACATTATCAGTTGTGTAGTAACTACAGTATCAGTGGTGTAGTAACTACATTATCAATGGTGTAGTAACTACATTATCAGTGGTGTAGTGACTACATTATCAGTGGTGTAGTAACTAGATTATGAGTGGTGTAGTAACTACATTATCAGTGGTGTAGTGACTACATTATCAGTGGTGTACTGACTACATTATCAGTGGCGTAGTGACGACATTATCAGTGGCATAGTAACTACATTATCAGTGGTGTAGTAACTACATTATCAGTGGTAACTACATTATCAGTGGCATAGTAACTACATTATCAGTGGTGTAGTAACTACATTATCAGTGGTAACTACATTATCAGTGGCATAGTAACTACATTATCAGTTGCGTAGTGACGACATTATCAGTGGCGTAGTGACGACATTATCAGTGGCGTAGTAACTACATTATCAGTGGTGTAAGTAACTACATTATCAGTGGTAACTACATTATCAGTGGCAATAGTAACTACAGTATCAGTGGCGTAGTAACTACACTATCAGTTGGCGTAGTAATACATTATCAGTGACGTAGTGACTACATTATCAGTGACGTAGTGAACTACATTATCAGCAGCATAGTGGGCGACATCAGTGGCGAGAACGTAACTACATTATAAGTTGGTGGTAGTAACTACATTATCAGTGATGTAGTGACTACATTATCAGTGGGCGTAGTAACTACAATTACAGTGGCGTAGTAACTACACTATCAGTGGCGGTATAACTACATTATCAGTGGACGTTAGTGACTACATTAATTACAGTGGTGTATGTGTACTACATTATCAGTTGTGTAGTGACGACATTATCAGTGGCGTAGTAACTACATTATCAGTGGTGTAATAACTACATTATCAGTGGCGTAGTGACTACATTATCAGTGGCGTAGTAACTAAATTATCAGTGGTGTAGTAACTACATTATCAGTGGCGTAGTAACTACATTATCAGTGGTGTAGTAACTACATTATCAGTGGTGTAGTAACTACATTATCAGTCGTGTAGTAAGTACATTATCAGTGGCATAGTGACGACATTATTAGTTGCGTAGTAACTACATTATCAGTGACGTAGTGACTACATTATCAGTGGCGTAGTAACTACATTATCAGTGGCGTAGTAACTACATTATCAGTGGCGTAGTAACTACATGATCAGTGGTGTAGTAACTACATTATCAGTGGTGTAATAACTACATTATCAGTGGCGTAGTAACTACATTATCAGTGGCGTAGTGACGACATTATCAGTGGCGTAGTAACTACATGATCAGTGGTGTAGTAACTACATTATCAGTGGCATAGTAACTACATTATCAGTGGCGTAGTAACTACACTATCAGTGGCGTAGTGACGACATTATCAGTGGCGTAGTAACTACATTATCAGCAGCATAGTGGCGACATCAGTGGCGTAGTAACTACATTATAAGTGGTGTAGTAACTACATTATACGTGGCTTAGTGACGACATTATTAGTTGCGTAGTAACACATTATCAGTGGCGTAATAACGACATTATCAACCCGCGACCACCACCCATCCTTGCAATGCCTCACGGCTCTCAGAACCTCCGAGCGAAGGCTGCGGTAAGCCTCCTCATTCTTTGACGTGGGATGCTGTAGACGATTAGAGTAGGCCTGTTGATTTTTCTCAGCCATCCTGAACACCTCTTCTGTCAGTCAGGGTCTCCGGGGAGGTCTGGACCACGTACCCAAAGCAGCCATTGGAGCTGCCTGAGTCACAGTCCTAAACCTCGCTCATTTACCCTCGACATCTGGAGAAGTGGGGGACGATGCCAACCCCAACCACAAGCGATGGTGAAATTCTCGCTTGCAACTTTCATCAGCTAGCTGAGGCCTGGCCACCTTAGGTTTGAATGGGGTCCTGGGTGTACACCAACCACCGGAGTGGAAGAATGGCAGGCGCATCTTACAGATGACAAGTCGATGGTCAGAGGGCAGATCAGCTCCACGGTAGGTCCTGGTGTCAAGGACATGGGCCCGCATCCGCTGTTCCGTCACTATGCTTGGACCCGGCATGCATCCATGATGTTGTGTGGATGCGCCGATGCCGGAACAGCGTGTTGGTAATTACAATCCCAAGGGCTGCACAAAATCTAGCAGCCTCCTACCGTTGTTATTGAGCTGACCTGGCCCATGCCTTCTAATCACTCCAGACCAGGTGCCAGCATCATGACCAGCTCGGGCATTGAAGTCACCCAACAAGAAGACTCTATCCCGAGGGACCACTTTAGCTTGCACCTGTGACAGGATGTCATTGAAGGCATTTGACTCATCGGCCCTGCCTGCATCCCTCCACGGATGTTTGTCTTCAGTGGGGGCATAAGTAACCACGACCACCACTCCTCGCCTCTGGTTGATGGGAAGGCGAGCCCAAAGTAGCCTGGGGCTTACAAATTCCCACACCTCACCGCCACGCTCCCACTCCCCCTTAATTCGTTTGTTCAGAAGAAGAGCCACTCCCTGTTGTTTAGCAGTTTCCTGCCCCGGGTAGAGGAGTGTCCACCCCTCAATGATGGAAGGAGCTAGAGTCGGTCCACCAGACCTCCTGAATACCACAGAGATCCAGGCAGTACCGTTCCAGCTCCTGACAGAGAAGTGGTAGCCTCTCCTACGCAGTGAGCGTTCGAACATTCCACGTGGCCATCCGTAGTCGCTTTTTGTTGTTTCTGGAGGAGCCCCGAGGGTAAAGATTCAATCTCCTGGCTCCGCCAAATGGGGTTTGGCCAGGAGACGTTATAGATGCCTGTCCCCCCGGTGCCTCCGGCACAAGCTTATTAATTAGATTTTTACGTGGTTTGTGTTAATTTATTGAAGGTGAAGGGGATACCAGACCCTCACACCCATCCAGAGCCCCAATTTAGCCGCTGTGGTGGTTACAAATGCCCTGAGGGGAAAGGCCAATCGGAATTGGCCCTCCCCACCACAGCACTGTCCACGACAACGTTGCCCGTCCGGCACCACGAGGTGGTAGGGGGTTATTTTTTTCTCACACAGACACCCCAACCACCAACCACCCCAACCACCAACCGCCAATCACCCCAACCACCAACCACCAACCACCCCAACCACCAACCACCCCAACCACCAACCACCCCAACCACCAACGGCTCACAATGACCAACCACATTCCGTGAGCCAATCCGCAGCGAGCACAACGTCGGTGGGTTCGGCGCTCCTCTATGCCCGCTCCGACGGAACACGCAGAGTACATACAGTGGATAGGGTTTATCCTGCCCGTCCGATAATTCCCGCAGCTATTCCAAACCCCGCAGGGGAGGCGGGGGGTGGAGGGTGGGAGTCCAACCTCGAAGCGGATTAGGGGATTAGCGCGGTGGCCCCGACGTCACTGCCCTATGGTCTCGTTGTGCCCGAGACTTAATGAGCCATGTTCTATCCACTGCTGGCTGGGTGGAGGCTCCCCGCCCCCTCCTACCACACTCCCCTCCCTCTATGCCGACGCCACGAAACCCGGGATGCAAACAAATCCATCCAAATCTTGTGCGCAAGCTCATCTCATGCAGAAGGACCATTGCTCGAAACGTCGCCTGTAATGTATATTTGTTTTATAAGGCCACACACACTTGTATTAACGAGTGTGTTCAAGTTGTTGTTGTTGTGTTTGTGCACCATTACCAAACGCAGCAGCAGCATCATCGCCAGATCATTTGTCTTCTCGCCCAATTGGGATTATTTTGGTGATTTCGAAAAGTTTTTTGGTGAGTACACACTTGAGCACACGTGTGTACCCACGTGTGTACACACGTGGGAGTACACTTGAGCACAGGTGAGTGCGCACAGGCTCACCTGACTGCGCATCCGTGGACCAGGAGACGAGCGCGATCACCAGGGACAGGAGGAGGAGGCGGCGGCTGCTGCTGCTGCTGCTTCGCGCCATCGTCTCGAGTCGAGGCTCTCGGTCCAAAGGGAGCCGCTCGGGAGCCGCTCGGGAGCCGCTCGGGAGCCGCTCGGGAGCCGCTCGGGAGCCGCTCGGGTAGCGCGCGTCTCTGCGCGTGCAGCTCGACGGCGCGTGGGTCCGGGGGGTTCGAGAGGGAGGAAGAGCGGGGGGGGGGGGCGTGGGGATTGGGAGGATGGAGGGGATGAGGATAGAGAACAGGGGGATTGTAGGGAGGGAGGGAGGGGATGTGGGGTAGGTGATGAGAGGGAGGGGGGGTTGACGAGAACAGGGGGATTGGGAGAGGGGTGGGGGGTTGGAGGGAGGGGGTGGGATGGAGGGGGGGACTGCGGGCAGTGCCATTCACTGGTGCGCAGGCATCGGTGCGTGTGCCCTGACCAGCCAGAACTACGCACCCATAGCCTATGAAGAATGCCTATTGCCCGCAGCGTCGCCTAATTTTATATATATTTTTCATTTTAACAGAACGACCAGTTTTTATTGACGAGCGCATTTGGTGTTATCGGTGTGGCTAGTCCGCCACTGCCAACACAGCTTCAGCAGCAGCGACATCAGAAATGGGGCGCCACGGTGGCTAGGAGATGTTAACTACCTCGCCTGGTACACAGGAGGGCGTAGGGTTCGATCCCGACCCTGACGACGCCTGCTGCTGCTGCTGTATATTTGGAGTTTGCGGTGTCTCTCTCCTCGTGGCAACGTGGATTTTTCTCCGGGTCCTCCGGTTTTTCGCTCCACATTTAGAATGAACATCACCCGTTGAGAGAATGTCACTGCTGTACATTTCCACACGATTAGTTGTGACAGACAGGTCGCTTCTGCAAAAGAGCTACACAGCTGCAGTGGGGCATTACCTGGTCAAATTAACAAAAACTAGTTTTAGAACTCGGTTCAGAGAGTTGAGTGCAGTGGACTCGGAGCGTGGCCTGCAGTACGCACAGCGGCGGTGACGGCGGCGGTGGTGGTGCCAGCCCATCGGTGGACCTCATCTTGACTTCTAATCATGAATCTCGCGCCTTAACCAAGGCGGCTTTATATAGAATGAACAACGGTACAGCATGTGACTGTAATGGTGAAGACGAGGTAAATGAAACAGATGAGAGGAAGCGATGGGGGCACATCCGTGATGGTGCCTGAAATTCGATGAAAGCGAAATTGATGACGGTAAACCATGACGGGGGATTGAATGAATGGGGGTGAATGAGTGAGAGCCGTGTCGTGAGGATATGGCGGTTATGAGGGTGAGCTCGGGCGTAACAATAAGCGTGAGCTTCGAGTGCGGAGAGGAAACTTCGTGAGCGAAGGTGACCGCTTGATGTGGAGGGGGCAGTTTGTTCCAGTGAAGGGGGGGGGGGGGGCGTGGAGTGAGCGCAAGGAGGAGGAGGGACTGAACAAATCAGCCAATATTGAGCACGTGGAGGGCGAGAAGGCGACTTGGCAGGATACAAGCGTGCCAAGCTGCGGTGGGGCAAGGCCATGACGAGGATTCGTAGACCAGGCTGAGGAATTCGAAGTGGCCCGCATCGATCTTCCACCCGCCGTGCGTCAAACAACACCAACAACGACGACCCCGCGAACGGACAGCACAATCCAATACCCACCACGCAGTGGCGAGCAGAAGGTGACGTCATCAGGGTCAGCACGACGGCGGTGACGCGCAGCACCGGGCTCGAGCCGGCCAGGGGGCCGCCTCGGGGCTGGGACCCACAGAACCACGGGGGGAGGAGCTGGCGGGGGGGGGGGCTGGCGGGGGGGGGGGGCTGGCGGGGGGCTGGCGGGGGGAGGGGCTGGCGGGGGGGGGGGCTGGCGTGGGGGGGGGCTGGCGGGGGGGGGGCTGGCGGGGGGAGGGGCTGGCGGGGGGAGGGGCTGGCGGGGGGGGCTGGCGGGGGGGGGCTGGCGGGGGGGGGGCTGGCGGGGGGGGGGGCTGGCGGGGGGGAGGGGGCTGGCGGGGGGAGGGGCTGGCGGGGGGGGGGGCTGGCGGGGGGGGGGGGCTGGCGGGGGGGGCTGGCGGGGGGAGGGGTTGGCGGGGGGGGGCTGGCGGGGGGAGGGGTTGGCGGGGGGGGGGGCTGGCGGGGAGGGGGGGGCTGGCGGGGAGGGGGGGCTGGCGGGGGGAGGTTTGGCGGGGGGAGGGGTTGGCGGGGGGGGGGGGGCTGGCGGGGAGGGGGGGGGCTGGCGGGGGGAGGGGCTGGCGGGAGGGGGCAAAACTAAACTTACAAAAAGTTGACCAGGTAAGGCCCCACTGTAGCTGTATCGCTCTTGGTCATCACAAATGACGGCTCAACGAAGTGGCTTCATCATCGCGTGGAAATGTATCGCTGCCAAATACTCTCAACGCGTGATGTTGATTCTGAATGTGGAAGGGGAAAAAACGGGAGGAACCCGGAGAAAAAATGCACGGGGAGAGAGATAGAGACTCCAAATATACAGCAGCAGGCGTCAGGGTCGGGATCGAACACACGACCTCCTGTACACCAGGCGAGATGGTTAACATCTCCTAGCCACCGTGATGATGATGATGAGAGGAGAGAGACACGCAAACTCCAAATATACAGCAGCAGGCGTCAGGGTCGGGATCGAACACACGACCTCCTGTACACGAGGCGAGGTGGTTAACATCTGATAGCCACCGCGGCGAAACCGACGCCCCGTGTCACTGTGGTGGGTGCCCAGAGAGGCACGATGGCCGAGACGGTGTCGCAGAGCGCCGCTCTGAGCGATGCGTCGCCCCTTTCGTGTTCGGCGTGGGGGCAAGGGGAAGTTTGGACGGCTCGCTCGAGACTGGACTCGTGCGCGGATTTGTGTGTCTGTGTGGGGGGGGGGGGGAGTAATATAAACATTGCAGAGACATTGGCCTGCCCTGTGCGTGCGAGCGTGTGATGCACGGAGAGCGGTGGGGGCGCAGCGGTTAGCGCGCTGCGCGACGAACCCGAAACCCGGGCCTCCCCTAGGTCGACTCAGCCTGAAATGAGTACCTGGTGCAGTTTGTAAAACATCGGCACAAATGCGGCCGGGCGTGGTGCTGACCACCCACACCATCGCGCGCCGTTCCTGCCTTCTTCAAAGGTGCTCGCGAAGCAGCGCTAGTCCAGACGTCGTCCTGTGCATGGCCCACACGGTGGGAACTTCGACGTTCGCGGCGTGCCCCCGACGTGCGCGGCGTGCCCCCGACGTGCGCGGCGTGCCCCCGACGTGCGCGGCGTGCCCCCGACGTGCGCGGCGTGCCCCCGACGTGCGCGGCGTGCCCCCGACGTGCGCGGCGTCACCCCGACGTGCGCGGCGTGCCCCCGACGTGCGAGGCGTGCCCCCGACCGCCGCGGGTGTTCGCGCCGCGAGTCTCCACCGCGTGGCCGAGCGCGCGCGCCGTGATCCCCGTCGGAATCCGTGCCGCGTGCTCGCGGGGTCTGGGGGCGCGCGGCTAAGCGCATTGGCGCGGATCAGCGCCGGCACTGCCGTGGTAAACCTCTCTCTCTCTCTTGTGTCGGGTCGCCCAGTACGCCCAGGTGAGTCGTCGTCCGGGTACAGAGGTGGTCGATACCACGACGCCCCGGCTGGCTACTTCACCCACGGCCGTTGAAACTCGCAGCCAATGCGGCGTCCGCACACAGCTTAGGTCGAAAACTCATTTATTTAGTGATGATTTTTGTATATTTTAGTTGTGTTGCCCTTCCCGCACCTCCGATTAACACGTACGGTGCGAAAGAAGTTCAAGGTACATACAACTCGGCGTTCACAGGACGAGCGATCCCGAGTCTCCCACCCTGCCTCCCATGCTGGCGCCAATTCCCAAGTTGCATGACAACTCGACGGGTTAAATGCGAGTCTTCGGGTCTCGGTGATTTGATGGCTTTCTATGCGATGCTATGCCAGTCTACGGGTCTCTGTGCGAGGCAATGGCGCTCTATGGGTGTCTATGTGAGAACGCACTGATGAAGCCGCTGCCACTTGCATTTCAATTTCTCAATGAATCCACATCCTCGTGCTGTCAATCACTTCGTCAAACCCGGAGCGGAGTTCGTAGCCTCAACCCAGAGCCACCACGAACCACAACTGCGAGCTCTCTCCCTCCATCGCACCCACCACTCGCACCCACCACTACCACCCACCACTACCACTCTCACCCACCACTCGCACCCACCACGATCACCACCACTACCACCCACCACTATCACCACCACTACCACCCACCACTCTCACGCATCACTCCCACCCACCACTACCACCCACTACGACCACCCACTACTACCGCCCACCACTACCACCCACCACTCGCACCCACCACTACCACTCTCACCCACCACGATCACCACCACTACCACCACCACTACCACCCACCACTCGCACCCACCACTATCACCACCACTACCACCCACCACTCTCACGCATCACTCCCACCCACCACTACCGCCCACCACTACTACTCACCACTCTCACCCACCACTACCACCCACCACTATCACCACAACCCACCACTACCACTCACCACTCTCACCCACCACTATCACCACAACCCACCACTACCACTCACCACTCTCACCCACCACTACCACCCACCACTATCACCACAACCCACCACTACCACTCACCACTCTCACCCACCACTCTCACCCACCACTACCACCCACCACTATCACCACCACCCACCAATCATCACCACCACCCACCACTATCACCACCACCCACCACTATCACCACCACCCACCACTATCACCATCACCCACCACTATCACCACCACTCGCACCCACCACTATCACCACCACCCACCACTATCACCACCACTCGAACCCAAGCAGCCACGCGACAGGGCCCGTGCGCGATCGTTTTTATTCAAGTTGCGATCACAAAACGTGAACCTCGTTAACGCAGCAGCAGCAGCAGCAGGGCCTGGAGACGGACGGGTCCGGCGCGAGGGTCAATCTGGAATCTCGAGCTCGCCTGAGGCCACGCCGCCTCTACCCCAGAAACTGGCGCACGGGAGCCAGGCTGGCTTCAGGGTCCGCGGCTGGGCTAGGGCATGGCTCTAGCCCAGCCCGGCCTCGTGTGAGCCCAGCGGTCAGGGTTCAGGCTAGGAATGGGGTCATTCACTCTAAGCTGGTTTAGCCTCGCTTTAGTTGGGGCTAAAACTCGGTCATAGCCACGACACAGTTTAACTCGTGTTGGACTGAGTTTTGGTAAGTGGGAGGGGGGGGGTTAGCATCAGGAAAAGGGTTTTTCAAAACCCTAAGCTGGTTTAGCCCCGGGTATGCTGGGAAGAGGGCTGGTTGTAGCCCTGATCCTGATTAATGCAGCATTGGGATGTGTCACGGTTAGCACCGGGAACAGGGCTGGTTGTAGCCCTGGCCAGGTCTATCCGAGTGTTGGGTGGGGTCACATTGACAGGAGAGTTAGCACCGGGGCTGTTAATAGTTGCAAGTCGAATCAGACCCACGTTAACATCGGTCAAATTTGACCGAGGGCGAATTATACTTTATAGCAATAACCCAGACTAGCCTCACGTCGGGTTGACCTGGGGTTCGACTCCGAGCCAGGGTCCAGAGCCACAACCCCTGATCCCAGCCTGGCCTCGTGTCGGGTGACGTGAAAGGGGGCAGAGCGAGAAGCCAGGTTCATCCTCGGCACACATCGGCAAAGTTGGACACCGAAGACCCTCCCCACCGCCACCACCACGGGGGGCGGGGCCCACGAGACCACTCCCCCCCCCTGCTCCAACCGACAAAAAAACCACAGACGGCAAAGGACCAGTGGCACCGGTGAGCGTGCAGGGATCTCCGAGCGAGGGTCTGCGTTGGCCGTCGACTAGAAACCACGCGCAGACGACGCGGGTGGCGAGGGAGGGTTGGCGCTGGCAGCGGCGCGGGGCCCACGGGGTTAGGCCACGAGATGCGTTTACAAAACAACGGATCCGGTTAAAAACCACGCGGGCAACGGCGGTGGCGAGGCTGATATTTAAAACGGTTTTGAGAACTTTAAAATAAAAAAAGGAAGAGTTCCTGCTGGTTCGGGACCCGCATGCACACTGCTTCCCCTAGGCACTGTGGGTTTTTATTGGTCTCTGTTTACTGCTGCCGCCGCTGCCGCCACCGCCGCCTCTGCCACCAGCAGCTATGTTCAATCCACTGATGCTGGATTGCTGGACAAGCCACGCTTATTCCGGTGAGTGTGCCCGACGTGCTCCTAAGGACGTGCATCGTCGCGATTGAAATAAATAAAACGCCTCCTCGAGGGTGACCGTGGTCAGAAAAAGTTGTGCGGAGCCGCTCATTATCAACACCTCACCCCTCCCTCCACCCCTTCCACCCGTCCCTTAACGAGGCGGCCGAGAGGCTTGAAAAACCGAGCTCCCGACGACGATGCCTGAGAGTCCTCGGTGAGCCAGGAAGGCCCATTGGTGAGCCAGGAAGGCCCCTAATGGAGGTGCCCTTCCCAATGTGCAAACCCCATTGGGGAAACGCTCAAGAGCTCAAAGGAACGGCACGGTACGTCGGCTACAATCACAATAAAAGAAACGGTAACAACAACAACCGCAATAAACACAATCGTGTTCGTGTTTCCGCTCGCTGCGGTAGAAACCGGAGCCGGGTCGGTCGAGCGACGGGCAGCAGCCGCGGCGACGCCGGGCCCTGCCTCGACGCCCGTGAGCGCGGCACGGGAAATGAATGCTGGACAGTCAATTTTGGCACAAGTCACCTGGCAGCCTGACTCTGTCTGCCTGGTGGACAGAACCTGACGGGGGGCGGGGTGGGGGTGTGCGCGAGGGGGTGGGGGGGGGGGGTGCGTGGGAGGGTGCACGGGTGGGGGCGTGAACACAATTCGAGTTCATCGGTGAAAAATCCCGGCGCCACCGCACCCGGCATCGAGAGCGCTCTACGGCGCGATAGCCTCACCCATGCCCACAACCTCCCTCCCCCCCGCTTCCTCGCCTTACAAGGGGAAAGGGACCGCGATGCGACGCTCAAGATGCCCGTCCGTTCCGCAAACACGTGACCACGTTCACCACCGTGAGCGCATGGTACTCGCGCCGGTGAAGTGTCGACCGAGGTCCGGGTGGCCCGGTGAGGCCGGGCCCGGTGAGGCCGGGCCCGGTGAGGCCGGGCCCGGTGAGGCCGGGCCCGCTCTCCCAGGGAGGAGGAGAAGGGGGAGGAGGGGGAGGAGGGGGGTTGGGGGGCGGGTGGCACGAGTGGGGGGGTGGGGGGGATGGTGGTAGCGGCGGAGGGGCTGCTCAGGAGGAGATGGCGTCGCGCACGCGCGACTGCAGAGCGTCGCACGTCTTCTTGGCGTCGCCCAGCAGCATGGAGGTGTTGGGTTTGTAGAAGATGGGGTTGTCCACGGCGGCGTAGCCGACACCCAGCGACCGCTTCATCACGATCACCTGCACACGTACGCACGCCCGTGCAAGGATGCGCGCGATCAGGGAAGGGCGGCCGTTGGGGTGAGCGTCGATGGCGCAGCGGTGAGGACCGGCGTGGCGACGGGTCGTGGCGACCGTGTTGGCGGCGGAGTCTTTTGTGCCGGTAGTGGCGGAGGGTGCTCGTGTTTATGGTAGTATCACGTGTCTGTAACTTTGATTACTTTGAACTATGAACGGATTTATGAAGTAATTTGTCCGAGCCAACCTTTGTAACAGGACATTTTATTTATCGCCGATTTGTGTTTGTGCATGGCTATAGATGTGTTTTTAATGCAATGCGGTTGCTTTTGCCCTGCTTCATCGCTGTGGACGTGTGTTTAAGCTCTATATTTGGTGAGTTTGGTGATCCAAATCACTGACTGAGACTTTGCCTGGTCTCTGCCCCCTTGGTTAAACAAAACCAACGACTGCACCCCAACCCAGAAACGGGGTCTGGTGTTGTATCATTAATGGCCATGTCAGTGTTGACGCTCTTGGTGGATTCAAAACCAATTTATTTCGAGATGCTTTGTGTGTTTGTTGTTCTTCCCCCGCACCTGCTGATTAGCGCGGTTGGCTACGTACGGTGCGAAAGAAGTTCCACGTACCATAAATATTGGCCGAGGCACTTGGTCTAAACGTTCAGTATTCATGCATACATGTGTAAGCGATGCTGTGCTAAGTGTCGGTATTGGGTGGTCGGGGTGGTGACACGTTGCGGTGGCAACGACCAGCTTGGTGACACCTTCATCCAGCAGTTGGTGGTGGTGACGCTGTGGAGGGGGACTGTGGGCCGTGCGGTTACCGTACCTGCTTGGCTTTCCACACCTCCAGCACCGGCATGCCAGCGATGATGGAGTTGGGGTCCTCCTGCGCCGCCGAGTTGACGGTGTCGTTGGCGCCGATCACCAGCACCAGGTCCGTGTCTGCGCGTTAGTGAAGACCGCTGTTAGCGAGCACTCGTTCAGGCCGGCACGGCACGTGAAAGGGGGTGTCGTGTACCCGTGTACGTGTGTGTACACGTGTGTGTGTGTACACGCATCTGTGTGTGTATGCGTGTGTGTTCTGTAGTGGTGGGGAGCGATAGTGTAGCGGTTAGCGCGCTGCGCTATGAACCCGGCGACCCGAGTTCGATTCCCGCTCACGGCCAACACCAGTGACGATTATCTGAACCGGTCCCAGCCTCAAATGAGTACCTGGTGTGGTGTGTAAACATTGTCACTAGGGAGACAAAGGCGGTCGGGCGTGGTGCTGGCCACCCACCCCCTCGTGTACCGTTCTGGCCTTTATAGGTGCTTGCTAACAGCACTTGCCCCTACAGTTTATTGAGGCTATATGGGGGATCTTTGTCTTTGTTCTGTAGTGCAGTGGTTAGCGCGCTGCGCTATGAATCTAGGGACATGGGTTCGATTCCCGCTCATGGCCAACACCAGTGACGATATCTGAATCGATCCTGGGCCTCTTCTAGGTCGACTCAGCCTCAAATGAGTACCTGATGCGATGTGTAAACATCACCACTTGGGAGACAAAAGCGACCGGGCGTGGTGTTGGCCACCCACCACCTCGTGTGCCAGTGCCGGCCTTCAGAGGTGCTCACTAACAGCACTTGCCCCAACATTCTGTTAAGGCTATACAGGGGATATTTGTCTTTGTGTGCACACGTGTGTATGCGTCTGTGTAAGTGCGTGCGTGTACGCGTGTGGATGCGCGTGTGTGTATGCGTTTGTGTATGCGCGTGTGTTGTTACGTGTGTGTGTGTGTACACGAAACGTGGACCCCCCTAATGGAACATCTCCACCGGTTAGAAACATTGTGTGAGAAGCTCACAATTCCTCAAAAGACCTGGACAAAGTCCCATCGGTGAGCTCCTCCAGCAGGAAAGGCTGCATTGGCTGGGACATGTAGCCCGCATGCCCAATCACCGCATGCCCAAACAGCTTTAGTTCGGCCGGATCGAGGGGGTAAAACGGGCGCGGCACGGGCTAGAGAAGGGATGGAGTGATGTGGTACAGGAGGATGTGGAGCTGAGTGGACTTGCCGATGACTGGTACCAGCGGTGTCAAGATTGGCCTCAGTGGAGGAGGCTCGTGAAGGACGCTACTGGGCAGTTGGAGGCAGTCGCCCTCCAACAACAACAGAGTTCGGAGAAGCGACACTCACAACACCGAGCGGAGCGCCGGGTGGCTAAAGCACAGCAAGTTGGCACAGCAAGTTGTCACAGTAGGGGGCACAGGTGGTGCATCAGCCAGTGATCTCAGTCAGTCGAACCTGTGGCACCTGGGTCTGCCCCGTGACCTCGTACACATCGCCTGGCACAAGTGTCATGATGACGTCACTGCGACTTAGTGGCGAATGGCGGTTGTTGTTGTTGTGTGTACGAGTGTGCGCGTACGCGGGAAGTCGTCGTTGATCTCGTCCATCTCGAGCACCATGTCGTAGGGGACGCCGGCCTCGGCCAGCAGCACGTTGAGCTGTCCGGGCATGCGGCCCGCCACCGGGTGGATGCCAAACCTGGCGGAACAGCGCAGAGTTACACGGCGGTGTCACGGTGAGACAAGTCGCGGTGTATCACGGTGTCACGGAGCGTCACGTGGTGTTGGGTGGGCGAACGGGCAAGTGGGCGAGCGGATGATTGGGTGAGCGAGTGGGCGAGCGAGTGCGTGAGCCTCTTACCGGACGTTCTTTCCACTATCCTTTAGCATCTTCACGAGGTCGGCGATCGGGTACTGCGCCTTAGCAGCGCACAGGCCATAGCCTGCTCGGGCACACGAGCAACAGACATCAACATCACCACCACCATCCTCATCATCATTACCACCACCACCACCATCTTCATCATCACCGCCATCCTCATCAGCATCATGGGGCGGTGACGTTGCCCAACGGAAGCGCGTTCCCCGCTTGTTGCAGAGGCTCGCGGTTCCAAGTCCGCAGGCCACCCTCGTTGTATTGAAAGTGGATGTTAAAGATGCCCTGACATCGTTCGACACGATTAGGCCATTGTGTGCTGGCGTCAAGGTCCAAATTTTCCAAATTTCAAAAATCACAAGGGCCAATTACTGAAAGATCAAACAAAGACACCCTTATAGCCTTAACAGACTGTTGGGGCAAGTGCTGTTAGCGAGCACCTATGAAAGCCAGAACGGCACTCGAGGGGGTGGGTGGCCGACATCACACCGGGCCACCTTTGATTCCCTAGTGACGATGTTTTTACACACCGTACCAGGTACTAATTTAAGGCTGAGTCGACCTAGGGGAGGCGCAAGACCAGTTCAGATAATCATCACTGATGTCGACTGTGAGCGGGAATCGAACCTGGGTCACCAGGTTTGTAGTGCACCATGCTAATCCGCTACAATACTCGCTATTGTAGCGGGCTACCTGCTCCTCTCAATGGGGATCACACGCACACACGCACAGCAGCCTCCCAGTGACAGCCTCCACGTGCCGCACCGAGACACGCGCGGGCGGGGGAGAGGCCTCGTACCGGGCGTGATGATGATGTTGTTGGCCTCCTTGATGAGGTCCACGGTCTGCTCGAGGTTCACCTCCGTGTGGACGCCCGTGATCTCCATCGGCTTCCCGCCCGCTGTCGCCGACGTTCCGAACCCGCCCAAGATCACGTTCGCCAGCGAGCGGTTCATCGCCTGGGCCGGAGCGGCGGGTGGGGGGGGGGGGGAAAGCGGGGTGCGGGGGGCACACGTTACCCCCGGCAACAGGCGACGTCTACGTCACGCCGAGCGGTGCGCGCAGGGAGCTGGTATCCGCCGCCGCGTCGCCGCACGGGAGGTGGCATCGCGGGAGATGGCCACGGGAACCGGCGGAGATCGCGAGAAAAGATCCAGTTTGGGTGTACGTCCTGAATCGTCAAGGGTGGGCGAGCGGAGAAACGAGCGAGGGGGCTGAACAGGCGAGCGGGCGAGCGGGGGCTGCTCACCACACACATGATGTAGGAGAGGATGGCGCCCGAGGAGCCGATGAGCGCCCCGACGATGGTGAGGAGGTTGTTGCTGAGGAGGAAGCCCTCGGCGCATAGAGCCCAGCCCGAGTACGAGTTGAGCACCGTGATCACCACCGGCATGTCCGCCCCGCCGATGGCGGCTGTCAAGGTCACGCCCTGTGCGCGGGGTGAGGTGGGGGGGGGGCGGCAAGGTCAGGGGGCAAAGGGTCAGCGGTAATGTGAAGGGGGTGGGGGTGCAATCTGAATCAAGTTCGGCACCTTAATCTAAGTACGACGTATGTATGTATGTTGAACTTCTTTCATAGCCAACTGTGCTAATCGGAGGTGCTGGGAAGGACAACAAACTAAATACAAAAGGCAGTTCTAAAGAAATTAGTTTTCGATCCAGAATCCACTCCGTTGCTAGAACGTCGACTGGACACGATGCGTCAACGGAACACACGATGCCCCGTTCCTCAAATATCTAAACGTAAAGTTTAATTCGAGAACACAGCGTGCACAGGACACCACAACTGACACATAAATAACACGCATTGAACGTTGTGTTCACGAATGACAAGCCAGAGTTATGATCTCATGATTGAAAAATAAGCGCAAAGCACATTTATAAATACACAATACAACCAAAGTGATAGTCATAAATACATCATGGGTTCGTAAATACACAACAGGCTGAGGAGTAGGATACTGGGAAATTTCACTCGACTCCACATTCATAAATACACAACAGCCGCAAGCACAATGAATACTTCATGGAGAACTGCGTTCATGAATACACCATACGTTCATTCATACGGAACACATTGATTCATAAATAGGCAGTTCATTCGCCCACACTCGCTCATGAATAGGTAAAGACAAAGATCCTTCCTCTCCGCGTAGCCTTTGACAGATTGTTGGAGTAGAAACTCTTTTCCAGCACCGATGAAGGCCGGCACGGCAGAGGGGGGGTGGTGTGGCCAATTCCATGCTCCTGCCCGCCTGTGTATCCCCCCAATGCTGATATTCACACACTGTACCAAGTAGTCATTTGAGGCCGAGTCAACCTAGTCGAGGGCACAGGACCGGCTCCAACATCGCCACTGGAAACCAATTACGTGCGGGAATCGGGACAGGGGTCGCCGGGTTTGTAGCGCAACAACGCCCCCAACCAGTTTGGGTTTTTCTGCCAAAACGGAGCAATGTTTGTTGAGATGCCCAAGACACATTGGGCACACCTGCCCACGGCGTGACAACTCGATCCGCTTGGCTCTGTTGGGTGGTGGAGGGTTACTAAAATTATTTTTATCTTGTCCAGGTAATGGCCCACTAAGTTACATAGCTTTTTTCAGAAGCGACCTGGCCACAAATGATATCTCATCAAAGTGCCTTATCACGTGAAAATGTATAGCAGGCAAATACTCTAAACGAGTGATGTTGATTCTAAATGTGCAGGGAAAAACCAGAGGACGCGGAGAAAAATCCACGCGACCTCGGGGAGAGACATGCGTAAACTCCAAATATAAGTTTAGATATTGCCATTGTCCACTACGCCATGATCTCACCCAAAAGAGGCAGTTACGAATATAGCGGTGGCTGTAGAAGCCTACGTGTGATATTCGTGCAATGTCAGTTCAACGGTGGTGTCCTCACCGACCGCGAATCTAAAGACAGAACCGGTGATGCGACAACAGTGTGTGCGTCTGTCTGCCTGTGTGTTGGGAGTGCAGCCTCTGGCTGTTTTCCCACTTGTCTTGTGGTTTACATGTGCCTCTGGAGTGAACGGGCCCCTGTGCGCGTGACACATGTACATTATTAGGGCGCCGCAGTGGCGGGATGTTAACTACTTTGCCTGGTATATAGGTCGTGGGTTCGATCCTGACCCTGATGCCTGCTGTATATTTGGAGTTTGCGTGTCTCTCTCCCCATGGTCGTGTGGATTTTTTTCTGGGTCCTCCGGTTTTTACCTCCACATTTATAAACATGTGTTTTAGAGTATTTGGCTGCTATAAATGTCCACGTAATAAGCCACTTTGCTGAGCTATCATTTTTGGCAAGGTTGCTTCTGCAAAAGAGCTATATAGCTCAGTGGGCCTTATGTGCTGAAATAAAAAGTTTGGTTTATGGCTGCGCTTAAATCTATTAATAAAGTATTCCGACGGACTGATCAACTTGGTTTGGCGGAGGGCTAACGTGTGGAGGGTAAGGGTGGTGGGTGGAGGCGGCGGGGAGGGGGGGCGGCAGTGACAGGAAGGGGAGCGGCCGGCGCCCACCATGACGGCGGAGAGGGCGGACACGGTGCCCAGGCAGGTGAGGCCCGTGGCGTAGCTGGGGTCCAGCATGAAGGGCACCAGGGTGCCCACGCTCGCCGCCATCAGCGTGGCGTTGAGGACGTGCCGGCCGGGCAGCAGCAGCGGGGCCGAGTTCAGCACGCCTGGCATGTGCGAAACACAAACAACAACAAAGTTCACTTTGAAGGCTGTACCGCCGCTGCAGTGACGGAGGTACGAGGAAGAACCACAGACGAGTGGGCCAGGCAGCCAAGAAGTGAGCCGGTGCCAACATTTGCTAAAGCCCTGAGGTGCTCTATATTGAGGTGTTATCAGCCAATTAATGAGCGTTTACATGTGAAAGAAAACTGCAGCACCCTGTGAAAACCCACAAATGCGAAGGGGATACACACTCCATCCCATATGGACCGAAGAGGTCGAGTCCACATTATTGCTGTACTGCCTTCTTCTGGCCAAGCCAGGGTATGAGATCCGTACATACGCACACATACATACACGCACACACAAGCCGATTCGATTGCAAATTCTTTCTTGAAGGAACATTTTTCAGACTCAACCGCGCTTCGTGTGTGTGCACATGCGTATACATACATGTACACATAGCCTGGCACAAGCGCCGTGGTGACGTCACCGCTACTTAGTGGCGAATGGCGGTTGTTGCTGTTGTTATAGATGGGTGCACGTCACGGACCTGTCCCATGACCCTCCTGACAGGCGAGCCTCCCTACACTTCACGTGGCCCTAAAGCGCACCCGTCCGTGCGTGAACTCGGGTCAGTTGGGGATCGAGCAAGCGGGCGAACGGGCAGGAGTTTCGCGGCGCGGGGACGCACCCTGGAGCTTGCCGTACGCCACGAGCGAGCCGCTGAAGGTGACGCCACCGATGTAGGTGCCCAGGTAGGCGACGGACTTGATGAGGCCAGCGGCCGGGTCGGTGGCGAGGTGCGGGTACTCGATCATGTACTCCGCCACGCACGTCAGCATCGCCGCCAGCCCCACCAGGCTGTGGAACGCGGCCACCAGCTGCGGCAGGTCCGAGATCTGGATGCGCTTGGCGATGGTCAGGCCTGGGGGTTTCCGCGGAGAGGAGGAAGAGGAGGAGGTGAGAAAGTGGGAGGGATGAGACGGTAAGCCAGCAGAGAGAGGTGAGAGTGGAATCGGGAGTGGGGAGGCACCACGCACGGACGGGTGAGGGAGTGAGATTGTGGGGGATGAAGAGGGGGGTGAAAAGGAGGGAATAGGGGAAGAGGGGAAAGAAAGAGACACAAAATTACGGGACCGGTTAGGATGCAAATAAAAGTGAGAATGCCGCTGAGATCTGGGGTTCAATCAGGATATCGACACCCGTGATTAAACTGGGTTCTCGAGTGTAGCGAGTTAAGCATTTTTTTATTAAAATTCTTGTTTGTAAGCGTATACAGGGTGTTGACTGCAGTGGCGGCTTGTCAATAGAGGGCGCTGGGGCGCCGCCCCCATCAAGATTCAAGAAATATACATATACAAAAATTATATAAAAATACATAAAATATTTTTTTCATACGATGTGCCGGCTGGTAGTAAGAAAAGCTTCAGCATTTAATAAAAACTGGCTTTAATCGGTCAACTATTTTCTATGTTTTTCAATGTGTTTCATGCGGGATGCCGGACAAATGGATGTCTATGTGAGACTTTAAATTTTCGGACAGCATGTGACCTGAAGCTGGTCTCTAATTGGTTTCTTAAAGATTCTCCTCAGGGCGCAAGTCGTTGCGTCCCTGGCCAATCAGAATTGGATACATGTTATTTTATCCAATCTGATTGGTTCTCGTCACCTGTCATTCAACTTTACGCTCTGGGCCACTACTGCGAGTGCGCAGGCGACACCACTTCGACACTTGCTAGGCTGATCAAATTTTTTGTGTAAACAATGGCAGCAGTTCATCCAAATTCTGTAATTTATTTACAAAAAAACCCTTTCACAAGGCTTTCGCTGGAAGAAATAAAAAAGATAAAGGATCTCGGACCGGACCAACCCGATTTACAAATCCAGCAGCAGGCCAGTGACAGAGGACGAAGCTACACACGAAGCTTCACCCGCGCTTGTTATGAGAAACGGAGGTGGCTGGCTGGATGTGATGTTAGCAATTCTCTTTTTTGTTTTCCCTGTCTTTTATTTCAAAGTGTCGGCACTGAAGTTTTGTGGACAACGACGGGGGTAAGAGACCTCAAACATCTCTCTGACAAATACAAACGTCATGAAAGTAGCCGCAGCCATATTGATAATAGCATGAAACTAACGTTTTTGGGCAGAGTTAGCATTGCTGAACAACTAGATGAAGGCTACAGGATTGGCATTAGAAGGCACAACGAAGAGGTGACAAAAAATCGACACATACTGTCCAGGATAATAGACTGTGTGAAATTTTGTGGAGCATTTGAGTTGGCGTTACGTGGCCATGATGAGAGTGAGAGCTCAGATAACCCCGGTATATTTCGCGGGTTGGTGGATTTTGTTGCCTCTCTTGATGGAGCATTGAAAGAGCACCTTGACAGTGCTACTGTATTTAAGGGAACGTCGAAAACTATACATAACGAGCTACTGGACTGTATGTTGTCTGTTACAAGAGAAGAAATAATCAAAGAAGTCCAGACAAGTAGTTTTTTATCAATCCAGGCAGATGAAACAACAGATATTGCCACACAGTCCCAACTTGTGCTTGTGCTGCGCTACATCGACGACAAAAATAACGTGCAGGAAAGATTTTTTGAGTTCATCCCTCTGCAGTCAGCTACAGCTGAGTCCATTGCTACTGCACTAAAAGAGCGTCTTGCTTCTATCCTTCCTAAGGATCAGAAAAGTAAGCTCATCTGCCAGGCATATGATGGGGCCAGCGTGATGAGGGGTGCCACTGCAGGTGTTCAGAGAAAAATACAAGATGTGTACCCAAATGCCCACTACATCCACTGCTACGCACATCAGCTCACCCTGATAATGCAACAGGCCACGTCTCACATATCCAAGACGAGAATATTTTTTTCTAACATTGGTGGATTTGTCAGCTTTTTTTCTAAGTCACCCAAGCGGACATGTTTTCTGGATAAAGTGGTTGCCCATAGACTGCCAAGATCCAGCAACATCAGATGGAACTTTCATAGCCGTGCCATTAATACTGTTTTTGAGCACAGAGAGGATCTCATTCACTGTTTTGAGAGCATACAAGACTCAGGTGACTTCGACCTCAATACTGTCAGAGAAGCAGGAGCCCTGGCCATGCTACTGGAGGATGAGGATTTTAAGTTCTTTCTGGAACTTTATCACCACATCATGCCACATGTAGACTTCCTCTATGCCAAGCTCCAGAAAAAGAACATTGATTCAGCCCATATCAAAGTGAGCATCCAACAGTTCCAACAAGAAATCCAAAAGATCAGGTAACTTTATTCCTGTAATATGATCATTATTTGCTTTCTCTTTCATTTTTAACTCTCTTTATCCTTTGCCAAAATTATAATAAATTATCGTTGTCCTTTGCAGAAACTCTCTCCACTCCATTGGTGAGCAAAGCAGTGGTTCTCGTCCAACAAAGAGGCGCCGGGCGCTCAGTTCGGAAGACCGTGAAAGGATTGCAGCAGAGGTGAGTTTGTTATAGAAATCAGTCAAAATACCATTTTACATTAGTGTTGTGCTGCAGAGATGTCCTGCCTACATATCATATTCTACAGACTCAAGAAAACATTTTTAGTTTGGTATAAATCCTAACAAAAATCTTAATTTTAATATACAATAGCATCCCAAAAATAATAAATTGGCAACATAAAAATAAATGATCAAATGAAATTTGAAGCCACCAAAAACTACAGTCTTGTATGGGACAAAAACTCAAATGGCTCTATTTTTCTTTTGAAAGTAATTGCAACTGTGACAATTAGTGGTCTACATTTATATATCTATTTGTTTAATTATCTCTATAGGTCTGTGACACAATCCTGGGACACACTAGGGAGCGTTTCTCCTTCACAGACCACCTTGTCTGTGCCACCTTGTTGCAGGGGGACAGGTTTGATGAGTACAAGGATACCTTTCCTGAAGATGCATTGAGCAGCACCATGAAAGCGTACCCGATGCTCAGTGGAAGCAAGCTGAAGACGGAGCTCAGTCTCATCTACAGCAAGGAAGAGTTCAGAGCCTGCCGTGGTGCTGTGGACCTATTCCAGCTGTTTATGGAGAATAATCTCGAAGAAGGCTTTTCCGAAACTGGGACTCTCCTAAAAGTTATCATTACCACACCCATGACCACGGCTGAAGCTGAGAGGTGCTTCTCAACCTTGAAACGAATAAAAACTTTTCTCAGAAACACCATGACCCAGGAGAGGCTGAATGCACTGACATTGCTGTCCATGGAAAAGAGACTTGTTACGGAGATGACTGACTTTAATCAGAGAGTAGTTGAGAAATTTGCTGGCCAGAAAGAAAGAAGAGCAAAATTTATGTTCAAGTAGGAAACATGCTTTTTGGTACTTTGGTCTGAAATGTATATAAAAGAGAAGCATTTATGTTCAAGTAGGAAACATGCTTTTTGGTACTTCTTTTGGTCTGAAATGTAAATAAAGATCATCAAAATTTATATTCAAGTAGTAAACAGGGTTTTTGGTACTGCTTTATATTTATTTGCCCCCCTCAATAAAATAAAAAAAATGCGCCCCCCCCCCAAAAATAAATATCACCAGCCGCCACTGGTTGACTGACACTTGTACAGTGCAATTGACGATGCCATCCGTGCGCTCACAACCAAGTCACGTTAACGTGGTCGTCGCTCCAATCAGCCGATTACAGCTATGGCGCAGTTGCGCGGGAAGGTGGCACCACCGCCGTCACCACCGAGCGTTGACACGACGATGCGACTAGTGGCATCTTCCATCTTGAGAACCACGTCGAGCGCACGAGGATGAGTCCCCACTCACCCGCCCCGGTGTGGTGTACAGCTGTTAGCGGGGGGTGGGGGAGGGGCGGGGCGGGGTGGAGACGGCGGCCTATGGCGCGCCACCGAAGTGAGCCGCGTTGCGGGGAGACGCGGTGACGCGTGCGCCGGCTCACCGGCGGTGCCCCCGAGCGCCATCGCGCCCGACATCTGCGCCAGCAGCTCGGGCGAGGGGTGCAGGTAGCCGAGCGTGGCAGCGATGCCGCTGGCGACGCCGATCATGCCCAGCGTGTTGCCCAGGCGCGACGTGCGCTGCGTCGACAGCCCAGCCAGCGCTCCCACGCAGCACAGGCCCGAGCCCAAGAACATCATCTGGGGGGCGAGCGAACACAAAAACACACACGCACACACAATCAGCAACACGGCCTCTTACGCATCACACCAGATACTTATTTGAGGCTGAGTCGACCTAGGGGAGGCCCAGGACCGGTTTGGATAATTGTCACTGGTGTTGGCGGCCGTGAGTGGGGAATCGAACTCGGGTCGCCGGGTTCGTAGCGCAACACGCTGACCGCTACACTAGGTGGCCACAAAGACAAAGATCTCCTGTATAGCCTTAACAGACTGTTGGGGAAAGTGCTGTTAGCGAGCACCTATGAAGGTGGCCACCCACACCCATACAAAAACAACCGTCATTTGCCACTAAGTTGTGGTGACGTCACCATGGCGCTTGTGCCAGGCTAGTGCACTTCAAGGTCACGTGAAGTGTCGGATTTAAAGCACGAATTAAATCACACCCATACAAAGACAAAGATCCCCTGTATAGCCCCAACAGACTTTTGAGGCAAGTGCTGTTAGCGAGTCGCACCTATGAAGGCCGGCACAGCATACGAGCACAAAGATCCCCCGTATAGCCTTTGCAGACTGTTGGGGCAAGTGCTGTTAGCAGACACCTAGGAAGGCCGGTACGGCACATGAGGGGGTGGGTGGCCAATACCACACCCGGCCGCCTTTGTCTCCCTAGTGGCGATGTTTTTACACACCGCACTAAGTACTCATTTGAGGCTGAGTCGACCTAGGGAAGCCTTAGGACCAGTTCAGTTAATCGCACACACACACAGGCAGACAGACGCGCACACAGACGCAGACAGACGTGCACACACACGGACGGACGGACGCTGGGGCACGTCACACCTGCTCGATGTGGTACCCGCCGTGCAGGGCGGCCGCGTAGCCCCCAACCATGGTGGCAGCGGGCAGCAGGTAGAGGTAGTTGTGCTCAGGGGGGTCTGTCGGACGCTTGAACATGTCCAGCATCCTCTGGGTAACAAGGAAGCCGCCTGCATGGGGGGTAGTGGATTTGGGGGGAGGGAGATTTTAATTTGCGTAATCGCTCTCATCGCACCGCTACCACGGTTCCAGTTAGGCCTCGGCAAGGTAAGGTAAAAACAACGAGCCTACCTTTACCCTACCCTTTACCCTGACCCCGTACAAATTATCCGATTACAGGGTAATTACTGGGGTACTACACATGAACAAGGTTTATAACAGGTAAATGCTAGGTAGAGGGCTATATTCATACAGAATACTCTCGATGATTCCAATAAAAAATGGAGGCCACGGACTGCGCCACGGAGCTTTTAGCGAGCGGTAGACACAAGGTATTTACCGGGTAATTCTTCCGCGCTACCTTTACCCGACCCTTTACCTTACCCCTTGGCATGGTCGACACCTTTACCCTCTTACCCGGTATAAAAGGTAAATTACTTTACCTTGCCGAGGCCGAGTTCCAGTTCCCGTGAACTTCCCTCGTCGCTTTGTCTCAACGGCAGCCACTACACTGCAGGTCACAGCAACTCACTCGCACCCACCCACCCACCCACCAATCCACCGCTCTCATTCACCAATACAGCCACTACACTGCAGGTCACAGCAACTCACTCGCACCCACCCACCCACCAATCCACCGCTCTCATTCACCAATACAGCCACTACACTGCAGGTCACAGCAACTCACTCGCACCCACCCACCCACCCGCCAATCCACCGCTCTCATTCACCAATACAGCCCACTCGCCAACCCACCCACTCACCCACCCACCGCTCTCATTCACCAATACAGCCCACCCGCCAACCCACCCACCCACCAATCCACAGCTCTCATTCACCAATACAGCCCACTCGCCAACCCACCCACCCACCAATCCACAGCTCTCATTCACCAATACAGCCCACTCGCCAACCCACCCACTCACCCACCACCGCTCTCATTCACCAATACAGCCCACCCCCAACCCACCCACCCACCAATCCACAGCTCTCATTCACCAATACAGCCCACTCGCCAACCCACCCCCCCCAATCCCAGCTCTCATTCACCAATACAGCCCACCCGCCAACCCACCCACCCACCAATCCACAGCTCTCATTCACCAATACAGCCCACTCGCCAACCCACCCACCCCCAATCCACAGCTCTCATTCACCAATACAGCCCACCCGCCAACCCACCCACCCACCAATCCACCGCTCTCATTCACCAATACAGCCCACTCGCCAACTCACCCACTCATTCACCAATACAGCCCACTCGCCAACCCACCCACCCACCCACCGCTCTCATTCACCAATACAGCCACTACACTGCAGGTCACAGCAACTCACTCGCCAACCCACCCACCCACCAATCCACCGCTCTCATTCACCAATACAGCCCACTCGCCAACCCACGCACTCACCCACCCACCAATCCACCGCTCTCATTCACCAATACAGCCCACTCGCCAACCCACCCACCCACCAATCCACCGCTCTCATTCACCAATACAGCCCACTCGCCAACCCACCGACTCGCCACCACAGCAAGTCAGCTCACTTCTCTCTTTCTGCTTTTTCTCTCGCATTGCTCCACTCTGGAATTCCGTCTCCCATCATCGTCTCCCCCCCCCACCAGCAAAGCTCTCACAAGATGAATCTTGCGCTATTTAAATAAACACGTTTATAACTCTTATCTCTTACAACTTTGATCGCGCCGTTTGTATGCGCCTATGGACCTGTGCTCAACAACTGCTTTAGGGAATACAATATGAGAAATAACAAGATAAGAAACGTCACATTGCCAAGTAAGAAAGTAAGTGCCCTTGGGCTGGACGTGCCGCTGGACGCGACAATAGGCTGCTGATGGACAAGGCTGGCGATGGAGTGGCAGCAAAAGGAGAGAGCACGTCCCAGAGGATGACCACCGCGGAGATGGAGCAATCGGATCAGTTCGTGCGCAGGAGTGGTACGGACGGGAGTGACAGTGGAGCCGGGAGAACTTGCGACGGCGTGGGGAGGCCTTCATCCAGCAGTGGATAAATGGCTGATGTAACAGGTGAGCAAGATATACCACGTGCGGTAGAAACCCTGACGTAAAGGATTTTCAAAACGTTGATCGTGGCCGGTGATGGGAGGTGACGACTGTACAATGTTGATGTGATGGCGGCGGTGGGAGGTGATGACGTTGCGTGACGTGGTGCGACGTTGTGCCGGCGACGTTGATAAAGGGTTGTGTCCGTGCCATGTTGATGTCATCACGGTACCGGCGATGTTGATGGAGGAGATGAAGGCTGCGAGCAGCGCTAGCGTCTGAGCGGTCCCGCTTGGGAGGAGCTCCCCACCCATCAGCATCAGACCCCCCACGGCCGTCAAGCCTGCACACAACGGGGGGGAAGGGGGGGGTAGGGGGGCACAAGGATAGGTACTGCACTCTCCACGACTTCACATACTGCCTGAAGAGTACACTGTTCTCCTGGTTAGGGTCAGCTTAGGGTCAGGTTTAGCATTAGGGTCACGGTTAGATTAGGGAAAGGTTCAAGTCAGGTTAGGATTATGGTCAGGTTCGGATCAGTCAGATTAGGGTCAGGTTAGGATTAGACTCATGAGGTTAGGGCCAAGTTTAGGTTAGGGGTGGGGGGGTTAGGGTTGGGATCAGGGTCCGATCACGGGGGCCTGGCAGGCGACCCCGTGCACTGGCCAGACGGCCGGGAGAGGAAGGAGAGGAAGGTGTCGTGGTCTGGGCGCGCGGGGGGACGGTGGTGCCGCCACTCACCGGAGATGGCGTTGGTGACGGACATGAGCGGCGAGTGCAGGGCGGGGGTGACGCCCCACACCTGTGTGGTAGCCCACGATGCCGGCCAGCCCGAACGTCGTCACCATCTGGCTGAAGGCGGCGTTGGGCGCCAGCAGGCCCAGGCCCACGATGCTGCCCATACCTAGAGACCGTTCAGGCACACTCAGCGTGGGGGACTCCGCGAGGGGTCGGGGGCGGTGGGCGTGGGGGCGGGTGAAGTAGTGTGGAGTGGGCGGGAGGTGTGGCGGGCGCTGTGGCGTGCGAGTGTATAGCGGAGCAGGTGAATAGGTGATAGGGTAGTTCCTGCGGTAGGCGTGCTGGAGGTGGTGTAGGGTGTGAGGATATTAATGGAGTGAGGAGTAGGTGTGGGGGTAGTTGTGGTGCTAGGTGCAGCGTGGGTGTAATGTGGTGGATTGATATATATAGAAACTTATTTCGCGCCGTATATGACCAACCGAGCCAAACGGAGGGGTGGGATATGGACAACAAACTAAACACAAAAAGCAGTTTTAAACAAATTAGTTTTCAATCTAGATTTGGTGTGGGTGTAGTGTGGGTGTGTTGTATGATCGTATAGTGCGGGGAGATAGGTGTGCCAGCGGTTGGGGTGGGGGGGTGGTGTGACTATGGGTGTAGTGGCATTTCAAACAACTGTGAAGTGTGTAGTGTGGTCATGGCTATGCTGTGGCGGCTCTGCAATGGTGTGAGCGTGGAGAGGTGGTGATTATTCTGTGGTGGCTACGCTGTGTTGAGGTGGCTATGCCGTGCTGTGGATGCGCAACGATTATGACTGCACTGCGGTGTCTACAGCTGCAGTGCGGCGGATACGTTGCGGTTGGCTTCGTCAGGGTTCGGGTGCGGCGATCCCGTGCGGCTCACCGCCTGTGAAGACGCCAGCCGACGAGAGCGTGCGCTGGAACGGGGTCGTGAGCGCGTCCTTCTCGGCCTGCAGCTCGGCCACCGTCTTGCGCTTCACGGGCGCGGAGACCACGGGGGCCGTCCGCGGCTTCGGAGCCGGGAACTTCGCTTTCCCGTCCTGCGCGGGACACACGGGGCGGGGAGACAACGGGGGAACAGGGAGACACGGGAGACACGGAGAATTGAGAGGGCGGAGAAACACAGGCAACGGAAGACCACCAGGGGACATGAGACTGAGGTTTACAGTAAGATTATGTAAAATCATGCGCACGCATTGGCTATGTGACTCTGCAGTGCGCGCTCCTTCAACGGAGGAGGAAAAGCAAAACGACACGAACTCTCTCTCTCTCTCTGCTGAAGCCCTCTCGTTGTGGCCAGCAGCAGACCTCCACATTGCCATCTAGCTCCTCAACATATTGCTGCCATACGCAAGAATGGAATAGAATGTAACACCTTCCTATATGCGTTTGTCGAAGGAAGTTTTCAATTAATTTAATAACAAAAACTGGCAGCTAGCTGTTTTTTCGTTTCCAAGTTTTAGGCGACCTGGCCTTGATCAATTTGAAACTGTGGCCCGGAACTGTTGAACCTGGATGGCCGAGTCGATAGCACAGTGCGCAATCCCTTGAATTGTGTAGACGAGATCACCAATGCGACAACGCAAACACGAGGCGCAAGGGGGGGCCCTGCTTGCGGGGGAGAGAGAGAACGGTGGAGCCCAGGTGGTGAGAGTAAAAGTGGAGTACAGGCACGTGGGAGTGAGGGGTGAAGCACAGGTGGTGGAGAGACGGGCGTCGCGTGCGGGTGGTGGTGGAGTGCGAGTGGTTGAGCGGTGAGCAGCGCACGTTGGAACGCGTGCGCTCGATCGCCCCATGGTGGTGGCGGCCGTGGTGGCGGGCAACTCGTAGCGGTGAGCGGGATGGTGACTTGCCTGCATGACGACCGTGCCTCGCACGATGTGGTCGAGCGTTCCGTGGTCGAAGTCGTCTGTCAGGTTGTAGTGGAAGAACTCCTTGTCGGGGCTGATGCCGCGCAGCAGCTTGATGATGTTGTTGGAGTAGAGGTTGCTCGCCTGCGTCGCCATGCGGCTCGGCAGGTCCGTGTAGCCGATGTGGGTCACGCCCTGTGGTGGGGGGGTGGGGGTCAAGGCAGAAGGTCGTGGGGTCAAGGGTTGGGTACGCGAGGACGCATTGATTCGCCGATTTCAATTGAGTTCTTAAGTCCGCGTCCTTGTGCGTCCCTGTCCCCATAAGTCGCCATGTATCCCCCAGCGTGTCCCCAGTGTGTCCCCAGCCCATCCCCCAGCTTGTCCCCGCACATCCCCGTCCCCATGCATTTCCTTGCGTGTCCCCGTGCGTGTCCCCCATCCCATGCGTGTCCCCACACGTCACGTGTGTCCCCGTGCGTGTCCCCACATCCCCGTGCGTGTCCCCACACGTCACCACGCGTCTCCCCCAGCGCGTCACCTTGTAGACGGTGAGCTCTCCCGGCGTTATCGTCTCGATGTTGCCGCCGGCCTCGGCCGCCAGATCGACGACGACGGAGCCGTGTTTCATCGACTCGATCATGTCGCGCGTGATCAGCACGGGGGCCTTCTTGCCTGCCGACACGACAACGGGACGGGCGCACGGCGGCAGCCCGAGGTTTAAAGCCCGCCCCCCTCAACAATAACGTTGTAAAGGTCAAAATTAAACAAACTAATTGGTGATGCTGCATTGGCAGTGGTGCACAAGCGCAACTAACAAAAACACTCAACACGTTTGCCAACAACACTGCGGCCTTAAAACACTTTTAACAAATAATATAATCCGCGATGTTTCGGGCAACGGACCATCACGTGCTCTGAAGACGGGGATTTATTTGTCATATGGATAGGCTTCGCCACCCGGCCATGTGAATGTGGAATTTCTTACAATTGGCTCAGGGCTGTAAGCTGGGGATGGCTGCCCCCCTCCCTCCGGACAGGGGCTGGTTTGGGTGGTGGTGGGGGGGGAGCGGGGGGGTGGGCTTCGTGACTACGACCACAGCAGCAATATAATCGTACATATATTGAGTGAAGGTACTGAGTCACCCAAGGCATTAAGCAGTCTCCATACCAATGCAATAGATTATGTTTATTGTTATTCATGATCATGATCAATGGGCATATAGCCCGTTTGTTTCCACTTCCCTTTCTCTGTCTTGAGCCAAGATGCGCAAGTAGTGCAACAGAGTTGCTGGCACCAATCTCTCATGTTGTCATCAAGCCATGCTCTGTTACGTCTTCCTCTATTTCCAGTTCCTTCTATTTTTCCGAACAACACAATTGAAATGTTCCTGTTGTTGTTCATCCGACATATGTCCAAAGAGTACTAGTTTCCTTCTCTGCATCAGGTATCATGTGCAACCTTCTTCTTACCTCTATGTTGGTCATTCTTTGGGTCCAGCTTAGATTATTATAAAACATTTTTATTTTGGTCGCGTGATTGGGCACCTGGGATGAGCGCAGTCGTGATGACGATATCCACGTCCTTGCACTGCTTGGCGAACAGCTTCATCTCGGCCTCGATGAACTCCTTGGACATGACCTTGGCGTAGCCGCCACCGCCGTCGCCCGACTCCTTCACGTCAACCTCCAGCGGCTCGGCACCCAGCGACTTGAACTGCTCCAGTGCCTCCACTCTAGCAGTACAAAGATACAGATCCCCCGTGTAGCCTTCATAGACTGTTGAGGCAAATGCTATCAGCGAGCACCTATAAAGCCCGGCCGCCTTTGTCTCCTTAGCGGCAATGTTTACACACCGCACCAGGATATTCATTTGAGGCTGAGTAGATTTAGGAAAGGCCCGGCACCAGTTCAGATAATCGTCAGTGGCGTTGGCCATGAGCGGGAATCGGACTCGGGTCACCGGCTTCATGCCACAGCTCGCTAACCGCTAACTACCGCTCCCCACACAGTGACACACACACAAAGACAGTGACACACAGACACACACCACGCCCCCTGTCCGCACGCGGCGAAGTCGGGACGGGGAAGGAAGCGAGCGGTGAGGAATCTCACCGGGTGTCGAAGCCACGCACGATGGCACCCATGGCCTTGGCGGCGCCGGCAGCAGCCAGGCCAGCCACGCCGCCACCGATGATAAGTACCTGCGAGGGACAGCACCACGTGGGGGTGGGAGGGGGGGGGTAAACACGGGCACGTGTCGTTCGTATACAACTTGCGTGTGCACGGTATGTATGTATGTTGAACTCCTTTCGTACCGTACGTGGCCAACCATGCTAATTGGAGGTTTGGGGTAAGGGCAAAAACTTGACACAAAAATCAGTTCTAGAGAAATGATTAGGCTTCCTAATATCAGAACGAAGTATGTTCCAGATGGTGGCAGAAGCGTGCATGCATCTATGTAAGCCAGGCGCACGTGCAGGAAACGCGTGCAGGTGTGCGTGTGTGCATGCAGATGCGCTTGTGAGTGCACACACACAACAGCACCTTTTTGTTTTTTTAGCCTCGGGGGTACGATGTCAATTTTCCCCCCCACTCCCCCCAACCAAGCCCGCCAAAGGTTTTTCCCAAAGACCCCGTTATACGCGGGGCACAGGGCAACCTGACCACGTGATTCGAGGACACGCTGCACACAAGGTATGCGTGTGGGTGCGTACGTGACTATGTGGGTGAGTATGTGGGAGCGTTTGTGGGCGAGTTTGTGGGGAGCGGTAGTGAAGCGGTTAGCGTACTGCGCTGTCATCCCAGCAACCCCAGTTCGATTTCTGCTCATTGCCAATATCCCTGACGAATATATGAACCGGTCCTAGGCCTCCCCTAGGTCGACTCGGCCTCAAATTAGTACTTGGTGCAGTGTGTAAACATCGCCATTTGGAGACAAAGGCGGCCGGAGTGGTGCTGGCCACCCACCACCTCATGTGCTGTGCCGGTCCTTCATAGGTGCTCGGTAACAGCACTTTCCCCAACAGTCTGTTAAGGTTATACGGGGAATCTTTGTATTTGTATGCAGGCTGTGTATGGAGGTGGACAGGAGGAGCACCCACCTTGGCGGGTGGTACTTTCCCGGCGGCCGTGATCTGCCCGGTGAAGAATCGGCCAAAGTTGTTGGCAGCGAGAACCACAGCCTTGTACCTGGGGGTGGGGAGGCGGAGACGATTGGTCAGTGGGAGTTTGCTCATACTCCTCTGCTGCCCCCATGGCCTGGAACTCCCTTTACCCAGCCGTGCGTGCTGTCGACTCCCTGCCCCAGGCAAGACTCTGTCCCAATCCAGACTCAACAGCTTACATTTCACCTCCGCCCCTTTCTGTTTATGAAATAAACACGCCGCACTGTTCCTGCCCAGCGTCTCTGGAAACGGTTCGGGTGTAGATGCTATGTAAATACACATCGTTATGTGTGGCAGGGTTAGCGAGCGCCGCCGATTGCCAAGCCAGACATCGGAGTCATTCATTCATCGCGCATAGTCAGCGAAGGACCATTGCGTCAAACGTGTGACCTCTTGCGACAGCATTCGTGTAAACTTCTCTTGCTGCCATGCTGGTGTCTCGAGTGGTTTGTTTGACCCACGCTTCACGGGGGCGACCACGAGGGCGACGACGTTCTTTTGAGTGTCACAGTCCACTTCGAACGTCGACCGCCAACTGAAGTGTGAGATTTTCCAGGAGTTTGCACATAAAGTTGGGGTAACGTGTCCAAAAAGTTACAGCCATCTTCCTCGAACTAAGCTCGCAGTCGCTAGGAGACCAATCGCAGACGCAACGGTGACATTTCTGACAAACCATCAGATGCCAAAAAGGCGTTTTTGGCAATGCACGTGGAAGGACTCCAACCGATCCAAGTCAGCTTGAAGCAATGTCCAGGCCTCAGAGAGAGAGAGAGAAGACCTACGGACAGATAGTGGGATGAGACTGTCAGGGGGGATCGTGGGGGTCCCCCCGCGTGTCTACTGTGCAGCAGCTGCACTTTCTGGAGGAGGGTAAAATGCGTATGGTGCGGTAACATCAACGGCCTCGGGTAGGATGCCAACTTGATTTTGATGTCTCTCTGCATGAGGCTATTGGTCTCGGTGAGGCTATACTGGAGATCACGGTTTCTCTACAGCATCTTCAGATGTGATCGCAGTCAAATGTCACGTAAATCCAAATGTATTTTATTACTGTTATTTAAGCTTGTTTATGCAGAAAAGCCTGACTGAGTCTTACTACCCTTTTTGAAGAGGGTCCTGTCATGTTTTTGCATTAGGGGTGAAATTATGTGCAGTCCCAATTGAGTAATTTGCAGTGTACAAACTCCACACACACACTCCTCTGTAGAACAGGGGGAGATCACACAAACTCCACTCACTCTGTAGAACAGGGGGAGAACATACAAACTCCACTCACTCACTGTAGAACACGGGGAGATCATACAAATTCCACTCACCCACTCTGCAGAACAGGGGGAGATCATACACACTCCACACATTCACTCTGCAAAACAGGGGGAGAGCATACAAACTCCACACACACACTCTGCAGAACAAGGGGAGAACATACAAACTCCACACACTCACTCTGCAGAACAGGGGGAGATCTACTCACTCACTCTGCAGAACAGGGGGAGATCATACAAACTCCACTCACTCACTCTGCAGAACAGGGGGATAACACACAAACTCCACACAAACACTCTGCAGAACAGGGGGAGATCATACACACTCCACTCACTCACACTCTGCAGAACAGGGGGAGATCACACAACATCTACTTACTCACTCTACAGAACAGGGGGTGATCATACAAACTCCACACACACACTCTGCAGAACAGGGGGAGATCATACAAACTCCACACAGAACTGCTCTCAAGTCGGGAAGTGAACCTGGGCGGTTGTTGCTGTGATGAGTTTCGACTGCGCCATCCTGCCGTCCGCGTTTGTATCGTAATTGCTCCGTCAAGGGTGGCGAGCAGGAATGAGCCGAATGCTACGCGAAGGCATCCAACCGCGCGCAGCGCTCTCTGTTTAACGTAAACCAGCCTCACTGCACCCGCCGCGTACAATCTCTCCATCGCGGAACACCAACACAAACATCGATACCTGTAGCCGACCTTGACCTCAACAAACTACGGCGCGCCAACTGCCCCACAATAATCGAACGCAAAGCTTTCGGGATTGTACCGCAGTAGTGCTCGAATCTCTGTGACACCAGTGCCCACACACAAAGACAAAGATCCCCACTCTAGCGAAATAGACTTTGGGGGCAAGTGTCATTAGCGAGCACCTATTAAGGTTAACATGGCATACAAGGGAGGATGCCTTGTGGCCAGCACCATGCCCAGCCGCCTTTGTCTCCCACGGGTGATGTCTACACACCACACCAGGTATACTCATTTAGGCCAGGTAGAACTAGGGAAAGCCCAGGACCAATTCGGATATTCGTCACTGATGTTGGCCAAGAACGGGAATTGAACTCGGGTCGTCGGGTGTGTAGTGCGAGTGCGCTCACGAGGGTTGTTACTTTGCACAACTGGTATCCTAGTGAAAAAACCGGTGACTACCGGTTTGCTGCACATACAGAAATGTGCAGAGCAATACAAAAAAACGAGTATACGTTTTTGACTGATAAACAAAGGCAGCTGCCACAGAGGTGTAATGGTTTATCAGTGCGCTGGACTTTCAACCCAGAGGTCACTGCTTCGATCCCATCTCCCGGCATGCCAGTGGAAACAACGCCGCAAGTTTCTTAAATCTTCCACCGCTCCGCTCCGCACCATCCCCAACCAACTTGTACTTCCGCACAATCGACGAATCCGTTGCTCAGCCTCCACCGCAATCGGGAACCGATTCTGAAAACGGTTACCGGTTATCATTTGACAACTCGCGAGCGCCCCCCACCCTGGTCCCCCCCCCCATTCCTCTCTCCCCCTCTCCTTTTCCTTTATCTTCCCCCTTCTCTTCTACCCATATAAACCTTCATGCCCCCACACGTGGTCCCCACCTGGGGGGGACCCTTGTTGCACCGAAATCGAATCGTCGTTCGCGGAGTTTCTGTTCCCCCTCCGTTCTGCGATTGGCGTTTTGTACCGGGCTCGCGTTGATTTGGAATAAAAGCATAAAACATAAAAACTGCGAGCGCCGACCACGACACCACCGCTCCCGTCTCACCCGGCGATGTTGGCCATGGAGCTGAGCGCGTCGTATCCCTGGGCGATGGTGACACGCGGCACCTGGTCCATGGCCAGCACGCTGGCATGTCGCCCCGCCAGCAGGTTCAGCAGCTCGGGGTTCTGCGCCGGGTACACGAAGCTCACGAGCGTCGAGCCCTCGCGCAGCAGCTCCGCCTCGTGCCGCCCCGCCTCTGCCAGCGCCACCGGCGCCCGCACCTGCGGACGCGAGCGAGCGGAAGGGCGGGTGAGTGGGTAAGAGAGTGAGAGGGACGAGCGAGCAAAAAGATGCGTGGGTAAGCGAGTGGGTGAGTGAGTCGGTGGTGCGAGCTTGGGGTGGATACGTTTCTCAGTGGGTTTATATTGGCTGTGTGAGATTTCTGAATGGGTCGTTTTATCTTAGTACAGGATGCCAAGAGCACAACTGGAATAAAGTTGGGAAAGACGAAATTGTTTTTAAATGGGTTGAAAGCCACCTATCGGCGATTTCCTCAATTGCTGCACGTGCAGATAACACTGCTCACCCCAATCCCTACCAAAGCTGCTGCTGTGCTTGATCACCACATCCGTTCACCCGTAACGATGCACACGTTCGCGGGAGACAGGACCCATGGCCGAGCCTGACCCGCTGGTGACCCCCAGTCGAGACGGGAAGTCATTGCCGCATGCTGACCTTGAGGACAATGTCAGGCTCCGAACGCGGCCTTCTTGTCGGCGATAGGTGGCGCCGGCGGCGCGGTAATCGCGTCGGAGAACTGCGCCGCCTCCCCGGCGCCGGTCTCCACGGCGACGCCGAAGCCCTGCTTGATGAGCGCCTGCACGCCGGCCGGCGTCAGTGCCACGCGCCGCTCGTTGGCGAAGATCTCCTTGGGCACGCCCACCGTGATCTGCCCATACGGGATTCCTGCACATGGTGGGACGGGGGGGGGAGCGGGACGGTCAGCTGGGGGGAGTGGTGGCGCAGCGGTTAGTTCACCAGCCGCCTACATTTCTACAGCCACAGTCAACATCAATGGCGATTATCTGAAGCGGTCCTGGCCGTCCCCTAGGTCGACTTGGCATTGAACCGCCACGGGGGCAGAGATCGTGGCTACTGCACGTGGCTGCTGCCTGTAACGCCGTGCTGTGTTGGCAGCAGCGAGAGTTGGTGGCTCACAGCACAGATGGGTTGTGAAACTCCCTTCCCGTGGGTGTTGAGGAGGAGCCGTATCCCTGGCTTGCCAGGAGAAGGTAGAATAGCAAAGTGCAGACTGTCATCTGTCCCTTCTGTATGATGGGATGAAGTGCTGCTCCCTCACATGCGTGGGTTTTCTTCGGGTGCTGCATTTTCCTTCCGCATGTATAAAGACTCATTAACTGGCTGAAAACATTTGAATATACAGTAAACCGTTTATATCCGCAAGAGTTACGTTCTTGAATACGCTCGCGAATGCGAATTATAAAAAAATTTGCTTTTTTTATTACCCCTTTGATGATGATTTGACAATGGAGGTGGTGGAGATGGTGAGGAATGCAGGAGGGAGAAGCAGCTGTTTGATCACAACGCCGCACAGCTGTTATCATTCCAGCACTCTGGGCAGCGCTGCCCGCAACACTTTCCCCGACTGCATTCGCGTTCCTTTGAATGGACCTCGCAGTCGACTCGTTTCTTCCAAAATGTATCGGCGAGTCCACTAAGTAGGTATCAAATAAAAATGCCAACAGCGAGTTCAGAGTGGGATTCCTGCCAGGCTGAGAACAAAGCGGGCAGCCAAGGGGGCGCGCCTACTCTTCGTAGCAGACGGTTTCAATGTCACAACGTTCTGCACGCAACCTCCCTGGTGCCGGTGGCCTGGCACGACGTTCACTCGCGAGTACTCGAGTCCGGCGGGTCGCGAATAGGGAACGAGTACACATTCAGTAACTCGCGAATAGGGAATGAGTACACATTCAGTAACTCGCGAATAGGGAATGAGTACACATTCAGTAACTCGCGAATAGGGAATAAGTACACGTTCAGTAACTCGCGAATAGGGAATGAGTACACATTCAGTAACTCGCGAATAGGGAACGAGTACACATTCAGTAACTCGCGAATAGGGAATGAGTACACATTCAGTAACTCGTGAATAGGGAATGAGTACACATTCAGTAACTCGTGAATAGGAAAGAGTACACATTCAGTAACTCGCGAATAGGGAACGAGTACACATTCAGTAACTCGCGAATAGGGAACGAGTACACATTCAGTAACTCGCGAATAGGGAATGAGTACACATTCAGTAACTCGCGAATAGGGCAATGAGTACACATTCAGTAACTCGCGAATAGGGAACGAGTACACATTCAGTAACTCGCGAATAGGGAATGAGTACACATTCAGTAACTCGTGAATAGGGAATGAGTACACATTCAGTAACTCGCGAATAGGGAATGAGTACACATTCAGTAACTCGCGAATAGGGAATGAGTACACATTCAGTAACTCGCGAATAGGGAATGAGTACACATTCAGTAACTCGCGAATAGGGAACGAGTACACATTCAGTAACTCGCGAATAGGGAACGAGTACACATTCAGTAACTCGCGAATAGGGAACGAGTACACATTCAGTAACTCGCGAATAGGGAATGAGTACACATTCAGTAACTCGCGAATAGGGAACGAGTACACATTCAGTAACTCGCGAATAGGGAATGAGTACACATTCAGTAACTCGCGAATTGGGAACGAGTACACATTCAGTAACTCGTGAATAGGGAACGAGTACACATTCAGTAACTCGCGAATAGGGAACGAGTACACATTCAGTAACTCGCGCAAGCATGCGTAACTCGCAAATCCAGAGCTCGTGCATAGTGACGGTTGACTGTATCTAGAGGATTGTAAAGCGTGGCAATTGTTGGTGGCAAATCACCAACTGGCTTCCTTCCAGCCAGTCTGTGGTTCCTCAGCGACTATGAGCGATGCAATTTGCAAAAACGATGACCCGACACGATATATCAGACTAAACGAAAAGCGGTGGTCTCAGCGGTAAATAACAAAAATAACTGCAGAGTTCTCATTATAGACCGAGTGCTACCTGAGATATAAGTCCGGGTCCTAGTCTACAGTGGAAAGAGGAGGCTCTCTCCCTAGTTGCACCCCAATAAGCAATATTTTAAAAAACTTTTTTTAAACACGCTTTAATGAAATGTACCGTACTAGTAATGGAAGAACTCAACGACTCCAGGAAGTGGCCCCGAAGCTTGCCATAATTTAAGATGCCGTGATTTACAGCCAACGTCAGTTGAGCGTGGACAATTAGACCCAAGCCGAAACATAACATATAAAAAAGAATGTTTTAAAATATATGTTTTTTTTTTTCATGATAGAATATAGTATTGTTTTTTAGTATGACATAAGTATACCAAGTTTGCAGTCGATACCACATTGGGAAGTGGGTTAAAATTGAGTTACAAGATTTGAGGATACAACAACAACAGACAGAGTGAGTTAAATAAAAGCGTTTAAAAAAATGAATGAGCCCGATATTGAGGACAAAGCATACACTTAACATTGACACTGTGTGCATTATCCACTTCCATTCAAGCCGTATGTAACAGAACACACTCTTACGTTATACTAAAGCTGTAACACTATACTGGACACGTACAGACTTAAGAGTGTGTGCCCTGTGCACTTACTAAATATTTATACTGCGAGGACAACACAGCGACAAAGGCACCCCTCCCCCGTAGTCTTAAGAGTCGTGGGGCAAGTGCTGTTTGCAAGCACCTATGAAGGCCAGCACTGCACACGAGGGAGATGGATGGCCACCACCACGCCCCACTGCCTTTGTCTCCCCAGTGGTCATGTTTTACACACCACACCAGGTACTCATTGAAGGCTGAGTCGACCTAGGGGAGGCCATGGACCTGCTCACATAATTGTTATTGGTGTAAGCTGTAAGCGGGAATCGAACTCGGGTCGCCGGTTTCGTAGCACAGCGGGTTAAACCGCGACACTAGCGCTCTCTACACTGAACACGAATACAGCAGGCAAAGAATACTCGTAGCACGAGGCTTACTCGACAGCAGAGACATTGCCAGTGACAGAACACATTTAAAAATAAAGCAACAGCTGTGGGTCTGCTCCTACTGAGAATAACTCCTCAAAACGCAATGTTCCGATTTACTATTATTATAATAATATCCATCATACCAACAAACAAAATCATAGCTTTTTTTTTCTAATTGTCTGCCCTCAGCACCTGCCACGTGATGGTAATGTTATAAAAAACAATAGTCAGGTTTTGTCCACCCACACAAACAGAAAATAAACATCACAGGTCAAGCAGCCTTAGGGCCCAGATAGTGGGGACCGACTCTCAACCGAGTCCGAGCGACACACGGAAGGTGCGAAGATTTCCTCCAGAAATGGAGCGATCAGGGGACTCCACCAAACTGTGAATGCGGCGCACATCACTGATGACTGCCCAATCAGAACAGCACCGCGTGGTGTTCTAGTGGAACAAGTGGACTCCACTCGGCTCCCCCAATACAACACGCATGTTCTAGTGGGACCAGCAGACTCCACTCAGCTACCACGGATGCCATGAAATGTCTTACAATATAATAATGCAATTGTTGCATTAATACTTTTTCAAAAACCATACGAAAGAAAACGAAGATTGGCCAAATCATTGATCAATGGCTGAGCAATAATTGTTTACGGTGGGTGCTTATTGCAAGAGGAAAATATATTTAATAGCGGGCAGTCCCTGTACCGGTCTCAGCTTTTCCGAGTCTCGTTTTCTGTAGCAGGAAATGCGTGCTTAACCCAGCGCGACGTGTGCATAAGTTTAAACTTTCTGATTCTCGTCAGCCGCGACACTCGAGTTTGCGGCCTTAAACAAACGTTTCTGGAGAAACTTTATTCAAAACACAGCTCCATCGGCCGTCGGACTAAAACGTTACCTATTATTACATTTCCATAATGAAACGTCAGGAACCCACAATTAACCCAATCATTGAAGCGCACAATCAATAATTATTGGCGCCAATAATAACCCAAGCGGCGTAGGTTGTGGGGCCACGTGGACAAAGGGGGCGGCGTTGACCCACCGCGCGGCCAGACGAGCGAAAGCGAATGCCCACTCCTCACATTTCACCTGGCACCGCCACTGGGTGAAAGTTCCGCATTCCCGCACACACCAGCGTGGCACACAAATGGGTGCTACAGCCCTCCGTGCGTGTTCTTGTCAAGAAACTGCTGGGTGAGGGCCTCAATCACACCTTGTGGGTCGTGTAGAGGTTAAATGATCAGACCTCACCATGATGGTCGGCGCGGGTTGGTTAAGGTCGGGAGAAAAGAAGTGCAGTTCAACGATGGATTTTCCTGCGCCATTCTTTAACAACCTATGTTACGCATGGCAGTGGTTGTCTATCCAAACGCTATCCAGCCTCAAGCCTGCTTGGCTTCCGAGATCTGACGAGGTGGGGCGCGCTCCAGGTGATTGGGCCATTGGCTAGTTTACATACTTCATGTGAGAACACAGCTTCATTGACTTCAATAGAGCACAGTGTGCATTCCGGGAATTTCATCACAGACCTGCGAGGAAATCGTGGCCTTTGCTCTAAGCCACCTGCCGGCGGGCAGCGCCAGCGACACGAGTGAATCGTGGGGCGGTTCGGAGGGTCCCGGTGACGCCACTCGTACCTGTCCCGGAGGCCGGCGCCTGGCTCATCTGCGGCGCCTGGGCACGGAAGCATCGCGCCAGCTGCCTTGGGCGGACGCATCGGCGCAGGGTGGTGACGGTGCGGTGAGCGGCGCGGGTGCACCCGACGCCCGGCAGGCACAGGCGGCCGGTCCCGGTGAGTGCTGACGGGATGGTGCCGGCGCTGCGCCCGCACGCCGCGATCCTCAGCAGGCACGCCATGATTCTGGCGATGACAAGAGTGAGACGGGACACGGTCAGGCTGACAGAGACAGAGACGCGAAAAAAGGTACCAGGTCACGCTTACGTCGCTGGCAGCTCTATCAACTTTCACTCCAGCTGTTTACTCAGTTTTGTATCAATTTCAAGATTGTACGCACTGTGTCTTCGTGATCCTCCATTGACTCACTCGGCTCCCTTTCACACACTCGATAAGCTCTCCCCTTTCATCTCAATCTACTCCTGTCCAAACACTCTCTGCTCCAGTAACCAAAGCTTTCTATCGAAGCCCCCGGTCAGCTACTCCTCAGTGGGAAGTCACTTTTCTTTTCTTCTGCCTCCGTGGTCCCCCTTTGCCCAGACATGCGTGCTGTTGACTTCTTGACTAGCTCCATGCTCAAGGTCTTCCTCTATTCGTCTGCCTACGATTGACCGCCTTGTCTCCAAGACACGCATATCGACCCACAGACTCACCCAGACACCGAAGACTGCCTCTTTCTCCATATAAAATAAACACATACACTGTGTCTGTACACCATCTTGAAAGGCGGCTGAATTTAAACATTCCTATAAATGCGCACTGCATTGTTTCGTAAATCACCTCGATTAACCCTAAAGTGGAGGCAAAGAAAGTTTGCAACATAGACAACTTATGTACACAAGAGTGCAGTTACACACACACGCTTACAATAACAACTCTTTAAGTTTCTTATCAGACGAAAACCCATTGAGACTGGAAGCATCTCAGTGTCAAGTGAGAGAAACCTGGTTCAGACAAGAACTCAACAGCGATACAATCAACGGCACCGCGCTTGTCCCAGAGCACAGCAACAGAGAGCAGAGCGACCGACGGAGATAGGAGAGTGAGATGAAAGGGGAGACGTAGTAGGCGTGAGGGGAGAGGTAGGGGGAGCGCAAAGAGGAGAGAAGAGTGACACGGGAGGGGGAGAGGCAGGAGAGTGTGTTGAGGGGAGTAAGAGTAGTGAGATGAGAAGGGGGGAGCGAGTGAGAGTTACCCGGCGGTTTAGGAGATGAGTGAGTAGAGAAGACGGTGAGCCGGTGGACAGGCCGAATGAGCGCACTGTAGCGAGCGCCTAGAGGGCACCGGTGGGAAGGTGAGAGGGGACGTCACCGCGTCCCCGCTCTCTCAGTGGCCACCGCCCCCCCCACTCCACTGTACTCGCAGTAGCGTGTACTTCTTCCAAGGGCAAGTGCCGGGCTATAAATAGGGCGTGCAAAGAGGGGCGATAGAGGGGTGAGAGTGGGAGGAGAGAGCGGGGAGCGTGACGAGACTGGGGCATGGGCACCTAGCGAGGGGGGGTGGGAGAGTTGGGGATGGGGGAGCAGTGGAGAGAGAGGCAGTGAGGTGGGGGGGGGAGAAGGGCAAGGGGGAGAGGAGGGGGAGAGGGATCAAGGGGGGAGGAAGGGGGGGAAGGGGGGGAACCCTGTCATCAGAATCTTGCACGTGGCGGATGCTGCTGGTTTGGCTGTAGGTAATGGCAGCTGCGGTTTTTGTTGAAAAGTGGAGACTATAAGAAAAAGAGACGTGGAGTGGTTTAAACCGCTCTTCCTATGTAAAGTTTACACGTGTTGCACGGATTTATTTTAATTTCGCTTACACACACTGGAGTTTGCCGTTTCGTTGTACTCTGCTTATTTCAACACATGTTTCTCTTGAGTTAGGGCTCTGCCTGGTTATGTAAGGTCATCCCTTCATCTTAAGGAAGCTTGTACAACCGATGTTAATGAGTATAGGGAGAAATTGTCCATTGACGAATTAAGATACTTAATGGGTTAAGTGACAACTATTTACGTGCTTACACACACATCCCCATGGTTTTGGCTCTGCTTCAGCTAAATAGCAACGAGAAGCCGACTGGAGAATTAAGAGATGTTAACTATCTCACCAAGTATACAGGAGTGCGTGGGTTCGATCCTGACGGTGCCTGTATATTTGTAGTTTTCATGTTCTCCCTGTGGTCGCGTGGATTTTTCTCCAGGTCATCCGGTTTTTCCCTCCACATTTAGAATCAACATGTTTAGAGTATTTAGCTGGTATACATTTCCTCATAAGCCACTTCGTTGAGCTATCATTTGTGGCCAGGTCGCTTCTGTTAAAAGAGCTACATAGCTCAGTGGGCCTGACCTTGGTAAATTGAAAATTGTTTAATAGTTTAGTGTTTGCTCAGACTGAAAAATAAACTACAATGGATTAGAGGAAAATGAAAAGGCTCACTAAGTCTCATTACTCCCTTTGCAGGAGGGTCCTGCCAAGTGTTCACAGTCATGGGCGATGATTGCTGTGTATGTACCAACAGATAAAATACTTGACATCGGCAGACGAAAGGGGAGGTGCGTTCCAGGATGGATGGTGGTTGTTCAACAAGCAAATCAATCGAGTAAAGAAATGAGTACTCAGAATATGAAAAGTCGACCAATAACAAGATGGTTGGCCCATTGTTTCTTAACTCGTCTCTGTGACCTCCTCCATGGAACAGCTTTTAATGATTCTCAACGATTCTTAATCTCTTCTATTCACTTGCAAGTTTTAAGCCACTGAACAAACGGCACGCAAAGAGCTGAGTGGCGACAGCAGAATTAGGAGGACAATACCCCAACCCATGTCTGTCTCTCCATGTAAAACAATTATAGCATATATTGCATATTTTTTACACATTCCATCAGCCACACAGCCTTCTGGGAGGTCACAATTCCAGGAACATTCAGTACAAGTAAACTCTGCACGGGTTCCGACACTGTGTGCCTCATCACAAGGGGTCAATGTTGGTGTCAATGGACGAGGGAGCCTCTCTGCAGGATATGGGTCCTAGTTTGAGGCAAAACGATCTATCGCACATTGTCACCGCTGTACAAAGCCATCTGCTGCGTCTGTTAAAGCTACGGGACTCGAGAAGGGAGATAAACAAGCAGCTGTGATGATGGCAACGTGGCTGTGTGCTTGTTTTTGGGGGAGGGCCCGTGGTTGTTTTTCCCCATCACCAGAGGCCCTTCGTGTTTGTCGTTTGAATTTACTAACAGATTGGCGATAAGATCAATCGCGCTCTCTGAAGCACACCCATTGACATCTTGACCACCACACATCTTGTCTCGTCCACACATCATTGGCGCTTTCGAGACACGTGCCGATCCATGGATTCGTCAAATTTCAAGTCACTATTGCGGACCCCGCACAACGCAGGCATCGATCGTGTTAGAAATAGATGTTTGTGGTTTGTGGAAATAAAGAAACTAGCACTGCCCGTGCATTTGTGCGGGCTATAACTTCAGTTGATTAAAATAAGGATTTCTTGCGATTTTGTTTACCAATGACACTCGCGACTGACGGACACACATGACTTCATATCGATGACTGCGGCAGTGGAGCGATCTGAACCCGGCCACTTTAGTTCGAATCCTAGCCACGGCTAACATCAGTGGCGTCCGTGGGACCTCTCCCTTTCACCAACCCCCACATTGACCTGCGTGGTGAAGTATTGTAAAAACCCCTTCAAACAGAAGCGGATTTAGCATGGCTGCTGCTGATGTCGGGATGATTGACTCGTGTAACGTTTCAAACATGACACATATTAGCCGAATTCCGTTCTGTCTGTTTAGTCGATTATAGCCTATTGAATTTCCAAACCAATTATTGTCCAGCGGGATTTAAGTAGGCAAACTCTGGCCCAGTTTCGACCGTGTGGCGGTGTGGGGGTCTCATGGCCAGTCAGGCTCGTAACACAAATGGCAACGGGATCGCGACTTGGGGTTCCCACGTGCGGGACCAGCTGGTGACCTCATCAGTGGGGTCAGCTCCCCCTCGTACCCCCCCACCCCCACGGTCCCCTCCCCCACATCCCCCCACGTTACCCCTACCCCCTCGATGCCCCCCCCCAAGACGTCCCCCCCTTCGCCCCATGCCCCCCCCTCTTCTCCCCATGCCCCCCCCTCTTCTTCCCATGCCCCCCCTCTTCTCCCCATGCCCCCCCCTCTTCTCCCCATGCCCCCCCCTCTTCTCCCCATGCCCCCCCCTCTTCTCCCCATGCCCCCCCCCCTCTTCTCCCCATGCCCCCCTCTTCTCCCCATGCCCCCCCCCTCTTCTCCCCATGCCCCCCTCTTCTCCCCATGCCCCCCCCTCTTCTCCCCATGCCCCCCCTCTTCTCCCCATGCCCCCCCCTCTTCTCCCCATGCCCCCCCCTCTTCTCCCCATGCCCCCCCCTCTTCTCCCCACGCCCCCCCCCTCTTCTCCCCACGCCCCCCCCTCTTCTCCCCATGCCCCCCCTCTTCTCCCCACGCCCCCCCCTCTTCTCCCCATGCCCCCCCCCTCTTCTCCCCATGCCCCCCCTCTTCTCCCCATGCCCCCCCTCTTCTCCCCATGCCCCCCCTCTTCTCCCCATGCCCCCCCCCCTCTTCTCCCCATGCCCCCCCCCCTCTTCTCCCCATGCCCCCCTCTTCTCCCCATGCCCCCCCCTCTTCTCCCCACGCCCCCCCCCTCTTCTCCCCACGCCCCCCCCCTCTTCTCCCCACGCCCCCCCCTCTTCTCCCCACGCCCCCCCCTCTTCTCCCCACGCCCCCCCTCTCTTCTCCCCACACCCCATATCCCCCCGCCCCACTAAGACGTCCCTCCTCTTACCCCTCCCCCCGCAACCCCCTCCCCCACACGGCAAACAAACACACGCGATTGGCTCGCTCGGAGGAGCCACGTGACCGCTTTAAGCCAATCGCGTGGATGAGGGCCAAAAACCCGGGCCTTAACAAAAAAAAGACCCCACTCAGACTCTTGCTAGCGGGGCGTCTAAATAGAAACAAACGCTTCCATGATACACACATTTTTTAAATTGCGTAATTAACACAGTGACGGCGCGCGCACTAATTGCTGCCGGCGTGCGTTCATCTCCTCAATGGGAGGCGGGGGTGGGATGCGGAGCGCGGGCGCGTGACTCACCGAGCGCGAGGCAGGAAGTGACGTCACAAACCGGGGCTCTGTATAAACTTTATTGTCACCCCTGTCGCCTCGGACGCTGGCGGTGACGTCGCATTTCTGAATAACTTTGTTTGAGCCACTCTCCCGAGCGGGTGTCACGTGGTTTACATGTTGTCGCCCCCCACCCTCGCCTCCTTCCCCTCCTCCACATGGCGACGAAGCGGCCACGTGGTTTACCAACACATTCAATCATACTCTTTGGTTCTTTCGGTAAAGTCACGTCGGTATCAAATAAAATAAATCACGACGTTTCGGGCGCAACACAAGCGTCCGTCATCAGGTGGTGTTGCGCCCGAAACGTCGTTATTTTATTTTCTACCTACGTGACTTTACTGAAAAACCAAAGAGCATGGATTCCTGCAGCACGAAAGCTTCAAATCAAGACATCCAAAGATCCATAAGTACAGGTTTTTTGGGGGTTAGAGCGCGTAAATATATTAAATGTCGTTAAACCCGCCACAGCCAATTGTGATATTGGGTCGCAAAAGCCTACGTGTTAAACATTCAACACGTCCATTAATAATAGTGTGTGTGTGGCCTTAATAGAATACAAACATACGCGACGTCTCTGGCTATGGCCCTTCACAGCGCAGACAGGGGCCCAGCGAGCTGAAGTTCAATGCCTCTAGGGCGACGTTTCAGGCAATGGTCCTTCCTTAAAGGCAGTGCTGTTGACTAATGTGTTGAGGTGCCGTTGTTGCTGTTGTACACCACTGACAACAGCAGCAGCATCCCCAAATACAGTAACGTGGTTCATACTCTGGTTTTTTCAGTAAAGTCACGTAGGTAAAAAAAATAAAAATCACGACGTTTCGGAAGCAACACAAGCATCCGTCATCAGGTGTAACCCTCCAGTAAAATTGCTGTAGCGTATGAAGAGAGCTTTTCAGAGACACGTGTTTTTATATCGGGTGCTAGGCAGGGAGGAGCCAATGAGGCGGGGGGGGGGGGATAACCATCTCGGTGCTTGTACAATAAATGTACGGTACCTGTACGATGAATGGCGAATGAAACACTGTTGTAACTCAACATTTCTTAGTGATGGTGGTGTATCAGGCTGGATATGACTGTAAAATTATAAGAATCAATATGGATATGATTATGAGAGTAAATATAAACTGCCTGTTTAGCAGTAAACTGCACGGCAGCTAAAGTTTAAACTTGGTTAACTACATCGATTGCTCAATTTGAATCATCTCGGTTGAAGTTATGTCTATGTTTGTATATCTCGAAAATTAGAAAAGCTTAAGCTAAACTTGCAAGCTCGAAAACAGCGTGTGGTAATGTTGATGGTAGTGTGTAAAGCTGGGAAAATGGATATGAGAATAAATATAAACTGGCTGTCGAGCAGTAAACTGCACGGCAGCTAAAGTTTAGCTTGGATAATTACATCCTTCCAATGATTGCTCAATCTGAATCCATCATCTCAGTTGAAGTTATGTCTATGTTCGTATGTCTGTATGGCTTCATGGACAAATCTTTGGTAGTAACCTGGAGGTTTACAGGGTACCTTGGTATCGGAGAACACAATGTCATGAGAACCAGCAGTATTACAACAGTGGTCAGCTATGGCCGAGGAATTCGTTCTGCCATGTTTCAAATCCGAATTGTGCTCGCGAATGCGGTCAGAAATATTTCGTTTCCCCGATATAACAATCCCCAAAGGTGCAACTCAGTTTGTAGACACCAGGGTACTGTAAGTCAGGTATGACATCCTTTACGGATAGGATCAGATCACGGATCTTGTGTACTGTACTGAATCGGACCTGGATCTTGTGTTTGTTTAGTATTTTAGAAATCTTTTTGGTCACGCCTGCTAAGTATGGCAACGTAATGATCTTGATCGGAGTCTCTGGGGGTTGTTTCTCCACGGTGGGAGAAACAGCCTGGCGGATAGCACGGTCCGAGTATCTGTTCATCTTGAGGGCATGATGTTCATGTTCCAATTCACTGGCCAGGTGGTGTTGGTCAGAGATGCAGTGGGCCCTATGCTATATAGTGTTTTGATGAGGGAATTATTTTGTGCCGGATGGTGGTGGGAATCAGGTTTCAGGTAGGAATCTGTGTGGGTGGTCTTACTCTAGACAGAATGTCCCAAAGAGCCATTGGGTCTCCTCTCAAACAAAACATCCAGGAATGGTAGCTTACCATCGTTCTCCACTTCCATGGTGAATTTGATGGATGGGTGCATGGAGTTGATGTGATCTAGAAATTGGTTCAATGCTGGGAGGCCATGTGACCAAATGACGAAAGTATCATCCACGTAACTCTTCCACAGGGAAGGACGCAGAGTGGATGTCTGGATGGCATCTGTTTCATATTTCTCAATGAAAACATTGGCTATCACTGGTGACAAGGGGGAACCCATAGGGGTGCCCTCATTTTGTTTGTAGAAGGTACCATTCCAGGTGAAGTACGTGTTGGTAAGGCAGTGCCTAACCAGTGCAGGGACATCAGGGTTCAGTCCACGTTGGACTAAGTCTTCAATTATTGCTATGGTGTCAGGCACTGGAACCTTTGTGAACAGAGAGACCACATCAAAACTGACGAGGACATCATCAGGGGACAGTATAATGTCCTTGACAAGAGAAACCAAGTGAGTTGAGTTCAGTACTGCTGAAATGGTCTTGCCAGTGAAGGGAAGTCGAGTATCCGACAGAAAACGGGCCAGTTTGTAGGTAGGTGAGTTGATCGTGGAAGATACCCCACTATGGGCCATAGTGGGGTATCTTCTTTATGGATCTTGGGAAGCCCATAGAATCTGGGAGGTCTCGCAGCCGAGAGTTTCAGGGAGAGCCGTTTGATTGGTTCAATTAGGGAAGTCGAACTAGCGATGATCTTGTTGGTTTTATTAGTTAGGTTATTAGTGGGATCTCTATTGATTTTGGAGTAGCTGCCATCATTGAGCAGGTCCTGGATTTTGTTGTATGAGTTTTTATCCATGACAGTGGCATTGCCCTTATCGGCCGAGAGTATGACTATGTCATCCCTCTTTTTCAAATTTGCCAGTTCAGAATGCTCGTTTTTGCTGATGTTGCTAATGGGTTTCTTAGCATTCTTTAGGATAGTGGCTATTTTAGCTTTTGCAACGTCCATTTGGATGTGTCCCAATGTAATTAATCAAGCTAAACTTTAGCTGCCGTGCAGTTTACTGCTCGACAGCCAGTTTATATTTATTCTCATATCCATTTTCCCAGCTTTACACACTACCATCACCATTACCACACATTGTTTTCGAGCGTACAAGTTTAGCTTAATCTTTTCTAATTTTCCAGATATACATAGACATAACTTCAACGGAGATGATGATTCAAATTGAGAAATCGATGTAATTAACCAGGTTTAAACTTTACCTGCCTTGCAGTTTACTGCTAAACAGGCAGTTTATATTTACTCTCATAATCATATCCATATTGATTCTTATAATTTTACAGTCATATCCAGCCCGATACACCACCATCACTAAGAAATGTTGAGTTACAACAGTGTTTCATTCCCATTCGCCATTCATCGTACAGGCACCGTACATTTGTTGTACAAGTGTAAAGAAGAGCCGACACAAGGTTGCAGGGGGTTCGTCTTTTAATAATTTTCTCCCATCCACACCTGTCCCCAGCCGTCCCAATCTCGTTCCTGCCAAAAGCCCCTTCTTCCCGCCCGTTCTGCCCTTATATCTCCTCGATGACCCCTCCCACTAACCCTCCTATTGGTGGGAATCCTTCCCCTGACATCCCGACACAAGCACCGAGATGGTTACCCCCCCCCCCGCCCGCCTCATTGGCTCCTCCCTGCCGAGCACCCGATATAAAAACACGTGTCTCTGAATGGCTCTCTTCATACGCTGCAGCAATTTCACTGGAGCGGTTACACCTGATGGCGGAGGCTTGTGTTGCTTCCGAAACGTCGTGATTTCATTTATATTAATTTTTTTACCTACGTGACTTTAACGAAAAAACCAAAGAGTATGAATCCTTGCAGTCACGAAAACTTTAAATCTCGAAGTAACGTGGCTACCGGTACGAATATAGCGCCTTCAGTGGTTGCGTAGACTCGCTCGCATTCGACAGTAACGCAGTTTAAAGGGCGACCTGTGCAGCAGGCGACGCACAGAGTGCAGTTTGTTGTTGGCCCGCTTGGCGTCTTTGGACATTTTTGTGTGCAAGGACTTCTGACGTCACGCGGGAAATCGATGGAATCGATTAGCCCACGGAAATCGATGGAATCGATTAGCCCACGGAAATCGATCCACAAAGAGGTCTCAACAACAAAAAACCTCTGGTCTGGCACCGCCGGCACCACGTGGTGTCCATAAAGTTATCGCGCCGCGGCCAAGGGGGCGAAGCGCGAAGCCCCCTCTCCTCGGCGAAAACATCGATCCCTGCGCAACCCCCTTTCAGGGGTTCATGCCTCGTGCCGGTAAGACCCCCCTCCTCCTCGGCAGGGATCCCCCTGACCACCCCCCCCACCCCGAGCGCCGTTTGCAGAAGCGGGACTCCGACGAGGCCTACGCAGCCACGGGCCCTGCGCTCTTTCCTAGTAGTTCGGCCGGGGTCCTTGCGCCCCGGCCCCGGTGCGAGGGGGCTGGAGCGCGGCCTCGAGAAGGACAATGAAGTGCAGCTGCTACCGCCGGCGCGCTTGCTCGCGTCCTGCCGCCCGGAGTCCAGGGGACGAGGGGATTGTGGTGGTGGCGGTGAAGGGTGCAGTCAGGAGTCGGCTGAGAAGCTGGGTTTGGGACCAAGGAGCGCGAGAAGGGGGGTGGGTGAGGGATTATGGCGGTGTGAGACCCCCAATGTGCTCTCCCTGTCTCCATGCACGTGTCTCTCTGCGTTGCGTGGGGAGCGGTGGTGCAGCGGTTAGCGCACTGTGCGCTACGAAACCGGTCACCCGAGTTCGATTCTCGTTCACGACGAACAGTGGCGACGATTATCCGAACCGGTCGTGGGGCTCCCCGAGGTCGACTCGTCCTCAAATGAGTATCCGGTGCGATGTGTAGTAAACATCGCCACTGAGGAGACAAAGGCGGCCGGGCGTGGTGCTGGCCACCCAGCCCCTCGTGTGCCGTGCCGGCCTTCATAGGTGCTCGCCAACAGCGCTTGCTGCTACAGCCTCTGAAGGCGATACGGGTGGTGATCTTTGTATTCTCCTCTAGGACGATGTCCCTCGATCGCTGTGTCTCTCTCCGTGTTTCCGCCCCCTATAATGTTCCGCCCGGGGCCACGGGGTCTCGGCAAGCACAATAGAGTTAAGGGATGCTGATATGGGTGCTGATATGGGTTTGCTAAAGCTCGCGGGTCTGGGGGGCAATGGGATAGGGCTGGGGTGATCGTGGGATATCGGGGGTCGGATGAAAACTTAAACCTGTGGTCGGGAGCCGCTTGCACGCTTGCTGAGTGTGGAGGGTTGTCGTGTTGGTTGGAATGCATCTCTCCAGTCTTTGTGTATTTATGTTTGTCTCAGTGCCCGTGTCTCTATCGTCTCCCTCGTTGATTTTTTGCTTTGCGCGTCTCCGTGTCTGTTGTGTTCCCCTCGCCGCGTCTCTCTCGGTGTGTATGTCGCCCCCCCCCTCTGTGCATCTCCGTCTCGCTGCGCGATCGTCTCTATGGTCCAAACATTAGCCAGACCGTGTCTCGAGACGAGCTTGAGGTTGTGTTAATGATTATAGCGGTCGTACATTTTTACGATCGGTAAGTAGTTCCATCACGACTCCTGACCGCGATTTTAAAACGATGTTTATCACTAACTGAAGCATTGAACTCGCGGAGGACACCGAGAGGGGTCACACACCATCCTCCTCGGGAGGTTGGTAAGAGGTCGCCGTCTCTTCAGGGAGACGGGGACGTGGCGCACAAACAAAGCACTTTGGCAGAGCCATCGGAGACAGCGCGTGGGGGAGATGTGCTCAGCATTGGGCCGTTCGGTGCCTTCACTGGAGTTGCCACCCAGAGGATGGCGAATAATATTGATACGGGGTGGTGATTATGAGGCTCGGAGTGGTCCTTGAAGGACGTACCAAGGGGAAGAGGTAAAGCCAGATGGTGGTGTGGTGGTGGCAATAAGACTTTAAGAGGGGTCCCTGAAGGATGTATTGCCTGTAACAAAAGAAAGACTCCAAATAGTGATGAGACTTATTAGGAGGTCTTTAAGATCACGTGTCGACTTTGCAATGGTTAGAGCCCACCTAAAGCCTATATAACCTCGTGTTGCAGCAGCTCTTTCTCCTGCGTTGTTTGTCTCACCTGATGACAGTTGCTTGTGTTGCGATCGAAACGTCGTGATCTATTAATTTTCTATCTACGCGACTTTACCGAAAGAACCAAAGAGAATGGTTAGAGGATTAAGCAGAAGGAGACAAGTAATGGCGATGTGCAGAGGCATGAGCGGCATTCGTCCGTGACCGAGTTGCCGTCATCAAGGCAACGCGGTGGCGAGATGTTAACTACCTCGCCTGGTAGGATACAGGAGGTCGTGAGGTCGATCCCGACCCTGACGCCTGTATATTTGGAGTTTGCATGTTCTCCCCGTGGTCATGTGGATTTTATCTCCGGGTGCTCCGGGTTTTCCCTCTGCATTTATAAACATTCGTTTAGAGCATTTGGCTGATATAAATTTCCACGTGATAACCCACTTCGTTGAGCTATCATTTGTGATAGCGAGGTCTCTTCTGAATAAGAGCTAAATTGCTCAGTGGGCCTTGCCTTGTAAAATAAAAATAGTTTTATCGATTTATAATTTCAAGAGAATAATAACTTTTTGGAACTTTTGCAGAAAAGTACATCACCCCTCAGGTTATAAAACAGCCTGCAGAATGAGCTACCAAAGGACCAGTTCTGAGAACCTTAAAGTGGCTTCTCATCCTCACGCAGGGTGCTGCATGTTACCATTATCAAATTCTAACACCTGTCCGCTGCATGGCAGGCAAACTACGGGGGCTGAAATCCAGATTCACGGCTAGGATCTTGGCGTTTGCAGCTCTGCACCGTGAGTCACCTTGCAAACGTTGTGACCCTTGACCGTGTCCTCATGTTGCAGAGGGAGTGCGGCTGGCGTGAGAGACGGGGGGCCCCTGGCGGCAGGGAGAGGCGCCCCCTCTGTATGGGCCTGCTGCTGTCTCGGCCCGCGGCACTGCTGAAGAGCAGGAAGGAAGCGAGGCTTCGCGCACCGGCTCCAAGACCTGGCCTCGCAGACCCCTACTGCCGTGGTCCCAGGTACGCATTCTCGAATCGATCTGTGCATAGCGTGAACTGCTCACAAACGGCAGAAAGGCATGACTCCCAACCATATGCCACAGGGCGCCACGGTGGTGAGATGTTAACTACCTCGTCTGGCATGCAGGAGGTCGTGGGTTCAATCCTGACCCTGATGTGGAGTTTGCGTGTTCACCCTGTGGTCGTGTGGATTTTTCTCTGGGTCCTCTGGTTTTTCGCTTCACATTTAGAAACTTGCGTTTAAAATATTGGCTGTTATAAATTTCCACATGATAAGCAACTTTGTTGCGCTATCATCGGTGTAGCCAGGTCACTTGTGAAAAAGAGCTCTAGAGCTCGGTGAACCTTACCTGGTAAAATAAAAAGTTTAGTAGTTTAGTTTAATATGCATTGCGTGCATATATCATGCAAACATCACACTTTGTGAACGCTGCTCTCAGCTTCGTCCAGCCCACCATTTCGACAGATCTGAACATGTGGTAAGATTATATTGTTGGTGGGTTTTGTCTGGGTACCCTGTTTTTGTAAACAAAATTCTCAGACATAGGGGTTGTCTGACCATACTTAACCACACTGCTCAGTGCGGGTTTGGCTAAGGGGGTGTTGTCCGCAACATTTTTGGATATGAATATATTGGCGGTACACGGGTGCGCGGTAAAAAAATGCAAATTTTTTTGCAATCATTTATTTTCGCGCGATTCGTAAACCCCAGTCAGAAAATATTGTGGGGTGGTGGTGCATCAAAATCAGTTCTCTTGACAGCGAAGCAGTCGGAAGACAAACGTTATGAGCAGCTGAACATGAAGCTTCACAGTCTGTTTCCGTATAGCACCCAGCCTGATGACGATTGGCTCTGTTCCAAAGGCAGATTTGACTCGTGCCCTAGACTTGGTCGGACGGTTCCTCGATTCATAGATTTTTTTTGGTGGACGGTGGCATCGAAAGATTGCAACTCCTGTCATACGTTCAAATGGGAAAGCAGCTGCTGAATCTAAGGCAACTTCTGATGGAGTGCAGCTCACTCAAGGGTAACAGTGACATAGTCAGACTGTTTTATGAAGACCGGTGTGTTATACTGCACCGGTGTACCGCTAATACGTCCATATCGACCTCCATACAGTGTGCTAACCCCTGCTGCCCCACCCCGTGGATGACACGAGATGACACAAGCGATGGGGTTTGCGTGATGCTGATGGTGGTGCCGCTTTGCCGGTGGCGCCGCTCTGCCGGTGGTGCCGTGCTGACGGTGGTGCTGTGATGCAGGTCATGTTGTGGTGGCTTCGTGCCGTGTCCGGCACCGCTGGGCGAAACTGAATCCGAGGAGGAGGAGGAGGGAGCGAGCGGCGAGCCCTGCGCCGCGCACGCAGAGATGCCGCTGGCGGGCGGCAAGCGCAAGTGCAACTCCACCAGCAACACCAACGTAAGGACCGCTGGGCAGGGGGAGGCGCATGGGGTGGGGTGGGGGGGTCGTGGGGGCGGCGAGGTTGATTGAGGATGGTCGGGGGGCGGGTGGTGCTTCTCTCTTCCTGTCTCTCAGTTTTTGACAATTATTTAAATCAATAACAGGGCCTCAGTGAATCTTGTGTATGCAGTTGTTACCTGGGCAGGGCTGCCTGTTTAAGTAATCCATTATCGCTTTAGTAAACTCGACTAACTCAACGACCTGGGATTCCCACTAATTAGCAACATCGATGGCTAATATTTGAACCAGTCCTGTCGAGGCCTGCTCTAGATTGACTCAGACTAAAATGAGTACTTTGTGCAGTGTGTAAACTTCACCACCAGAGAAAAAAAGGCGGCCATGTTGGCCTTCATAGGTGCTACTCGTTTAACAGCACTTGCCCCAGAAGTTGGTTAAGGCTATACGGGGGAATCTTTGTCTCGCAGGGTGGGGATGACCCTGGCTCGCTGCCCTCCAGCAAGTTGCCCTGCCTCAGCCCGGCCCCCGTCGATGGGGTGGGACCAGCCGCCGATGGCCACGTCGCCGCGGCAACGGTTCCCGCGGAAGCGGCCAACATCAATCGTCTCCCTTCATCGATCCTCCTCAAGGTAGGCACGGCCGTGGGCAATGCTCCTTTTCCTTTTGCGCGTAGCCGAGGTGAAGAGCCACTCTGGAGACCCTTACTCAAGTGTGAACGCCACGCGACTGCTTCAGCTGAGGCTGAATGCACCGCTGTTGCTGATGCTGCCTCCGTTGCATTTGCACAGCTGGCAGTGGCTTACAATGATGCGCATTACGGTCCGCAATGCACCCTCGCGTTCGCTGTACGGTTCGAGTTTCCGCTTGTGAAGGTGGCGGCTGTGTGAGTCACGTGCTCCGTAGTTGTCGGGGACGGGGCGGCAGCAACGCCGGGTGCGTGTTGGGGACGTCGCCGTTGAGCCAGCGTGCCGTAACGCCGCGTTCTGCCCAGGTACTGTCATACCTGTCGCTGATGGAGCGCTGCCTGGCCGCCTCGCTCGTGTGTCGCCTCTGGCGGGAGCTGTGCTCCGACCCCGAGCTGTGGCGGCGTCTCGACCTCAGTGGCCGTCAGAAGGTGACTCCCTTGCTCCCTCCCTCGCCCTCCCCCCTTGCCTCCTCCCTCGCCTACCCCCTCGCTTCCTCCCTTTCCTCCCTCCCTTTCCGATGGCGTGGGGAGGAACTTCGTTCAGCAGTGGATAGATCACGGCCGATGATGATGACGACGATATGGGATACACGCTAACGATGAATATGGTGAGAACGAGATGAGCGCGTGCGGGTGGGCCTTTGTTCGTGCGGAAGGACGATGACGGCGTGGATGTCGCAGGTGACGGACGAGGTGCTGGCTCACGTGACGTCGCTGAGCCACGGCGTGACGCGCGTTTGCGTCGCCGACTGCCGTGCCATCAGCGATGCTGGCGTGGCGCTGATGGCACGCTCCTGCCCGGCGCTGCTCTGCTTCTCGGCGACGCGCTGCAAGCAGCTGACGGATGGCGCCGTGGGCAGCCTGGCAAGGCACTGCCCCGCGCTACGCTCGCTCAACCTCTCCAACCTCGACGCCATCACCGACGACGCACTCAGACAGGTTCGGGGGTCAGGGGACTCGCGGGTGGCGGGGAGCAGGGTGCCTGGGGGGGGGGCATAGGTGATTATGTGAGTGTGTGGTTGTGACTTGGTGCCACGGTGGTGAGTTATCTACCTCGCCTGTTCTACAGGTGGTCGTGGGTTCGATCCAAACCCTTACGGCTGTTGTATATTTGGAGTTTGTGTGATCTCGTGGTCACGTGGATTTTTCCCCAGGTCCTCCGGTGTTTCCCTCCACATTTAGAAACATGCATTTATAGTATTTAGCTGCTATACATTTCCACATGATAAGCCAATTAATTGGGCTATCATTTGTGGCCAGGTCGCTTCTGAAAAGGAGCTATATAGCTCGGTGGGCCTAATCGTGTATCTGTGCCTACGTGAGTTGCGTGGTTGCGACATGGTGGCGCAGTGGTTAGCAGACTGCGCTATAAAGCCAACAACCCCAGTGCGATTCCTGCTCATAGCCAATATCCTTGATGAATATATCAACCGGTCTCTCCGAGGTCGACTCCGTTTTAAATGAGTACCTAGTGCAGTCTGTAACAATCAGCCCTGGGGAGACAAAGCTGGGCAGGTGCGGTGCTGGCCACTAATCTCCTCGTGTGCCCTGTCGGCCTTCATAGGTGCTACTCACTAACAGCACTTGCCTCAACAGTCTGTTATAGCGATACGAGGAGGGGATTTTTACCCTTCTCTGTGTGCGTGAATATTTCATCGCAGCTCGGCGCCAGCTGTTCGGACCTGCGAGAGGTTCACCTGGGCCAGTGCTACCTGCTGACCGACGCCGGCATCACGGCGCTGGCACGCGGCTGCCCTCTCCTCACCAAGATTTACCTGCTTGAGAATCACCTGGTACGGCGGGACAACAGCGCTGCACGGCCACTGCAGAGTTGTTCAGGGGGCAGGGTGACTCGGGGTGGGGGGGAGGGTTGGTTGGTGGTCTGTGCTGAATACAATTAGCCAGAAAACCCCCCTTCCCCCCCCCCCCCCCCCCCGATAACCTGGGTTCACACACTGTTCAGGAAGCCGGGTCAGGTGACACGGTTATGTGGACTTACTGGATCTTGTCCTGAAGATGCTTGGCACAGTTTCAAGCTAAACGTAGCGCATCTACTCGCTGCTAAATTTGGTTGTGAGAATTTTTCTCGCTAGTGAGTGAGCAGGTGGGCGAGTGACTGAGTGAGTGGGTGAATAAGTGAGTGGGTGGATGAGTAACAATTAAATTAGTTTGGCTGTGTCGCGGAGTGGGGGCTTACGACACAAAGTTGGCCGGATCGTTGTGACGTTGGGCTAACCCGATATAATCGATTCTGAATCGTACTAAATGAAGCTGTTGGAGTCGTTGCGGGGAAGTATGGTTGACTGACCTGACACCCAGGGGATGGGCGGGCGGTGCTTCTCCGGCCTCCAGGTGACGAACTCTTCCGTGCAGTGCCTCGCCGAGTGCTGTCCGCGTCTGCAGTACGTGGGGCTCATGGGCTGCTCCGTCACCTCCAGGGGAGTGAGGCACCTTGCCAGGGTGAGCCTCACCACTACGTCTCCTCTAGCCCCTCTCTATTAGCCGCTCAGTCCCTCCGTCCCACCGTTCCCCCCAGTGACTCTGTATTGGGAAGCCACTGGAGCTGTGCTCTTTTTAAATCTCGATTGAAAACGAATTTCTTCGGAACTGCGTTTTTTGTGTTAGTTTGTCGTCCTTCCCCTCCACCTCGAATTAGCACGGTTGGCTACGTACGGTGCAAAAGAAGTTCAACAAACGTACATATCCCCCTTGTCCCTCTATTCCCGCTATCCACTCGATCCCTGCTAGCCCCTCTAGTTCTGCTATCCCTTCTAGCCCCTGTCGCCCCACTCGTTTGTCCCAATGCCGCACAGCAGCAGTCGATGGCTGCGAATGCCCCCCCCCCCCGTCTGCGAATGCCCCCGCCCCCCCCCCCCCGTCTGCGAATGCCCCCGCCCCCCCCCGTCTGCGTGTCGCGATCCCATTCCCACACGAGTGTCTGCGTGGTTCCGCCCTCGTCGATCGCACTCTCGCCTCATCTCTCTCTTCCGGCTGCCTGTCTCCTCCCTCCCACGTCCTGCTCCCTCCCTCCCTCCCTGCCCCCTCCTCCCACAGCTAGGCGAACTGGTGACCCTTGACCTGCGGCACGTGAGTGAGCTGGATGGGGAGACGGTGATGGCGCTGGTGAGGAGCTGTTCACGCCTCACCACACTCAACCTGTGCCTCAACCGCGGCATCGATGACAGGCATGAAGCACCGCCGCCACCACACACACAAGACCGCACGCTCAACCACACCGCACGCACGCACGACCGTACCGCACGCACAACCGCACCACACCCTCAACCGCATCGCATGCACAACCGCACCACACCCTCAACCGCATCGCATGCACAACCGCACCACACCCTCAACCGCATCGCATGCACAACCGCAGCACACGACACACAACCGCACACGACCCACACAATCGCACCGCACGCACAACCGCACCACACCCTCAACCGCATCGCATGCACAACCGCAGCACACGACACACAACCGCACACGACCCACACAATTGCACCGCACGCTCAACCGCACCGCACGCACAACCGCACCATTCGAACAACCGCACCACGTGCACAACCGCACACCACACACAACCGCGACACACACAACCATAACACCAAACAACCACAACCGCACCACACACAGTAGCACGACACATACAACCACAACAGCACTTACATACACAACTGTACCAACCACCTGCTTGGTTCTTTCGGTAAAGTCACGTAGAATGGAAATAATAAAATGATAAAAATAAAACATAAAACTAATGTTTTATTTTTATTATTTCCATTCTACGTGACTTTACCGAAAGAACCAAGAAGATGAATCCCTGCAGTCACGAAAGCTTTAAATCGAAATTTGTACCAACCACATTACACCCCCAGTCGCCTATACAGAGGCATATCACACACTACCATCACACGACACCAACAACCGCAACGGCCGCTATTTGCCACAAAGTGGTGGTGATGTCACCAAAGCGCTTGTGCCAGACTTGGTGCGTGGAAGCTTGTTGCTGGCAGGTGGTCAAGGGACAGACCCAGGTGCCATGAGTTGATTTGACTGAGATGGCTGGCAAATGCGCACCACCTGTGCTCCCCACTGGGTTAATTCGTTGTTTTTTTATCCAACTAACACAAGTGCACATGCATATGTAGTGAGTTCGACTGACTTGCAGACGTACTCTTGGAGGCAACACATTTATTAACACCAACACACGGGGTAACTGCCCCTTAACAGAATAACAACCTATGGTGGAAACCACCATGGTAACTACACTAATTACAACGTGACTGGTGTAGTTAGCTGGGTGGTGACCACCAGGCTAACTACACTAGTTACCACGTGACTGGTGTAGTTAGCCTGGTGGTGACCACCAGGCTAACTACACTAGTTACCACGTGACTGGTGTAGTTAACCTGGTGGTGACCACCAGGCTAACTACACTAGTTACAACGTAACTGCTGCTACGGACCGGGACCACAGCTCGGGTCCAGGTCCACGTGTTGGAGACTCGTTGAATGTAGACGAAGGTTTCTTCAGGATGAACAACAACAACAACCCTGGTCCCCCTCGGGACCCGGCTTATATTATCTGCGGCCTGGATGGCTCCGCTCTTGGCCACGCCCACCTTCCAGAATCCTCGGGAAGGATCTGGATCCCAACCACGTGACCACCCCTAGCCCCCACTTGGGGCCTCTTTGAAGACTTAACTTGTCACGTGTCTTCCCGGGTCAACCAGAGTGCCATGGCCTCTAAGAACCTCATTCCTACGGCCGGCACTCCCACACCCAATCCTGTAGGGCTGGCACTGCACGCCGAGGGTGGTGCCATCCAGCACTGTCAGTCAGCGCTCACCGGGCCCCTCTAGGGCCGGTACTACACCCACACCCACGTGGTGTCCGTGATGTCGCTACACCGCACGCCGTGCGCCTCTAGAGCCGGCACTACACAGTGACATCCAGCGATGTCACTACATATATGTGCATACACACGTGTGCACACACAGGTGTGTGGAGGTGATTGCGAAGGAGGGGAGAAACATCAAGGAGCTGTACCTGGTGTCGTGTTCCATCACTGACCAAGGTAATCCCCCCCCCCCTTCCTCCCCTCCCTCACTATGGTGGGGAATTAAACTCGGATCAGCGTATGTGTATGTATGTATGTTGAACTTCTTTCGCACGGTACGTAGTCAACCGTGCTAATTGGAGTTGCGGGGGAAGGACCACAAATAAAATAACAGAAAGCAGTTATGAAGAAATGAGTTTTCAATCTTGAAATTTGCGCCACCCATTCACGTCTAAGGGTTTGTGAAGTCGTCACAGCCTTACGTCCGTCCGTGCACAGCGGCGATGCGTGACTGTCTGTGACAGGGGCCCCGTGAACCCGCGTGCGCATGCTCTAATGCGGGCGAGACGGCGTCCGTGTGAAGCCGTTGCTGATTTAAAATCTCTCGACAACAGTGCACGATGGGAAGCATTCACAGCATCCGTGCATGTGCACGATTAAAAAAAAAAAATTTTTTATTCCTTTTGCTCCCCCCTCCCCACCTTGCCCCACCCCACACGCCCCAGCGCTGCTTGTGATTGGCCGCTTCAGCGCCAGCATCGAGACGGTGGATGTGGGCTGGTGCCAGGAGATCACCGACCACGGCGCCATCGAGATCTCCCGCACGAGCCGCTCGCTCGCATATCTGGGCCTCATGCGCTGCGACAAGGTTACACGCCCCACTCCCTCACACCAACCCCCCCCCCCCCCCCCCCATGTCACTCTATGGCTGCTGTAAATTTCTACGCGCTAAGCCACTTCGTTGAGCTATCGTTGGTGACCAGGTCTCTTATGAAAAAGAAGCTAAGAGGCTCGGTGAGTCTTACCTGGTATAATAAAAAATAGTTTAGTTTGATTCGTTTTTGTGTGACTTGCTTACCTTTCATATATTTTGCACTCCAGTCGTGTTTTAGTGTTGTTTGTTGTAACGTTCTTACCCCGTGTCTCTACTGGACATCTGTAAAAAAGAGCTTTTAAAGCTCATTGGATTCCTCCGGTATAAATATTCTGATTCTCTTAATGTTCCTTCCCACGCTGCTCCTTCATTCCACTCTTCGTGCGCCTGTTCTGTCTTCTCTTCTCCTGTCCCTTAATTCCTCTGCGCTCTCGTTTCCTCCCTTTTCCTCTCTCCCAAACTTCTCTCTCCCATTATTAATTTCTCACCCTTCCCATCTCCCCCTTATCTCCTCTCTCTCTCCTCTTACTGTATTCACTCTGCCTTCTCTTCCCACACCTGGATCTCCTCCCCATATCTTACTTCTCTCCTCTCTTCGTCTGTCCTCTCTGCTATCTCTTTCCCCTCTCACGGCCGTCGTTCTCACTCTCCGTTAACGTTGCCCCCCCCCTCTCTCTCGTCACCCACCCCCTCCTCCCTCCGGCGGGGCAGGTGAGCGAGGACACGGTGGAGGAGCTGGTGCAGCGCTACCCGCGCATCGTCTACAGCACCATGCTGCAGGACTGCAAGCGCACGCTCGCGCGGGCCTACCAGCTCGGCTGGAAGCCCTCTGGCTCCGCGGGCTCTGCCCCGTGACCTCGTCTGCCCCCCACCCCCCCCCCCCCCGTGTGACCCAGCGACCCAAAGAACCAACACCCCCCCCCACCGCTCAGGCTTCACGGGGTCACTCCGCCCCTTCCCCACCCACGACACGTCTCCTTGCGCCGCCGGGGGCGAGACACGAAACCCAGAACGGACGCCGAGGGCGCCGTATTCCGGGTTGCTGCGAACGCCATCCCGGAGAGGTGGACTCCAGCAGAAGCGGGAGGAGAAGAAGGGTGTGTCTGTGTGTGGACTGTGAAACGTGCCGACTCGTCCGTCACCGTGCAGAGACGGACTCGGGATCCGGAGCGTGACGACTCCAAGCCACCTCGCGTTTCCTACCGGGGGCGGAGATGGGGGATGGGCGGGGGGAGGGAGAGTGGGTGGAGGGAGAGAGAAAGAACCGGGACGGAGGTTTGCGAGTCGCGTCCTCTCATCCCCGCGGTGCTCTCCGCTACAGGGTATTTATTAAGCAAAAAAATGTTATCGTGTTTGCTTTTAGTTAGTGAGTTTTGTTGAGACGATTATGGAATTCGCCGGTCTGAGGACTACCCACGGCAGCGGCGGAAGAGCCTGGCGGAGGAGAGAGCAGGGTGGGGAAAGGGGCCTTGCAGGGGTGGCCGGGCGGCGGTGTGCACGCCGGGGACGCGCAGATGAACAACTCAAGAAGAAGCCATGTCACACTTTCAGGAAAACGACTTTTGACAGGGGCGACACGGGATTAACTGCAATTATTTTTGGAACGAGAGCCAAATCGTTCCTACTCGAGCATCGCCCCACTTACACCTCCCCCCCCCCCCCGCGCTCAGGTGTTCATCCGGACGGTGATGGCGACAGCGACGAAAACGCTGAGCTGAGCGTCGCGTCGTCCGAGCGTCCCCCCCCACCTCCACCCAGGACTGGCGAATGTCACCGCTCCACGACCGTGGCGACCCCAAAACATGCGGGGGGGGGGGGGTGTACCCCCACTATCCCCTCCTCCACCCCAATAACATTGTGATGCTGACATTTTTTTATGGAAACCACAAAGCGATGAAACCTACGTTCAACGTTCGATCGCCGAGTTTGCATGTGTGTTCGTGTGTGCGCATGTGTGCGCGTGCGTACTGTATAGTGGGGGAGCGGTGGTGCAGCATTTAGCGCACTGCGCTACAAACCTGGCGACTCGAGTTCGATTCCAGCTCACGGCCAGTAAGTGACGATTATCTGAACCGGTTCTGGGGCGTCTCCCAGGTCTACTCGGCCTCAAATGAGTACCTGGTGCGATGTGTAGATGTCGCTTCTAAGGGAGACAAAGGCGGCCGGGCGTGGTGCTAGCCACACCACCCCCTCGTGTACTGTGCCGGCCTTAATCGGTGCTGCTCGCTAACAGCATTTTCCGCAACAGTCTGTTAAGGCTGCATGGAGGTTCTTAGTCTTTATATTTGTTATATGCGTGTGTCTGTATATATACGTATCGTATGGTATATATGTATACACACCTTTTGTGAGGGCTGTTATTAATATGGATCAAATGATCCACTGATTTCATCATTGCGATTTGATTACAGGAACCCTAATAATTTGTTTTAACGTTGTGGTGAATGTAGCAGTCACTAGTGGTTGCACGGGTCACGTGACCCCTCCCCACTGTCACTACACGCGTCGGTTCCAACGCTCGCACGAACGATTTGACACACGTGTCGCCAGCCAAGGGACGGAGCGCGTCCGTGAGGACGTCCCATCGTCCAACAGATGGAGCGAGCGGAAGAGTTCGGCTCCGTGTGGAATGGATCGTTACGTCGTAGGATCGTGAGAGGCGACGGCGGTGGCTTGGGGAGGGGAGGCCTTCATCGAGCAGTGGCTTGGTCATGGCTGATGATGAGCGGTGGTGATGATCGTTGGCGTTGGTAAAACCCCCTCGTTATAATTAATAATCGGAGATGTGTTCATTGTTTTTGTAACGGGACCTGTTTGTTCGGCTGCCACTTTGACCTCCGACCCCGCTCGTCGCGAGCCGGGTCCCCCTCGTCGCGCGTTCCCAATTGTGGGGTCCGTTTTGAACGCCGCTGCCAAAAACCAAAGAGGTGTCCGGGCGACCTCTGCCCATCGAGCCGCTGCCTCGTTCCCAACCGCCCCCCGTCGTTCCCCTCTTCCCCTTCGCAGCCGTCGTCTATGACGCCGCCGATGATTTAACACCCTCTAGGGGAAAGCGAGGTGGCTTTGTAGGAGCGATCGCTGAGCTAGCGCTGGGCTAGCGCTGGGCTAGGAGTGAGCTAGCCATGGGCTAGGAGCGAGCTAGAAGCGGGCTAGGAGCGACAATGCGCAGCTCCGCAGTGTTGTGGAGAAGCTCTACGCGAGTTGAGCCGACTCAGCCAGACGGTAGAATCGGTCTCCGTCTCTTCCCCGATGGCGTTGGTTTCGCCCGGGGAGGGAGGGAGGGAGCTCGGTGTTGAGGTCGCTCGCTCTCCTTATGCCTCCCCCCGCCCGCCATCCGTGCTGTCGATGCCCTTCCCCAAGGCTCAAGGTTTTCCTGTTTTGTTTTTCTCTCTGCCGATGACTGCCTGCCTGTTTGGAAAATAAACGCGCCCCCACTGTTTCCACGGCGCCTCCAGATGCCCGTCCTCGTCTTCGCCCCCTGCGCAGTCAATCTCGAATTGTTGCGAGTGGCTAGGGGGTTAGGGTCAGTGTGAGTGGGTTAGGGTCAGGTGTAGTGCGAGTGTGTTTGGGTCACGGGGCTAGTGGCTAGTTGGTTAGGGTCACGGCTAGTGCAAGTGGTTCGTGTGTTAGGGGCACAGGGCTAGTGCGAGTGGCGAGTGGGTTAGGGTCACGGGGCTAGTGTGAGTGGGTTAGGGGGCACAGGGCTAGAGTGAGTGGCGAGTGGGTTAGGGTCGCTGGGAGGGGGAGTGCGAGTGGCTGTAGTAGGTTATTGGTGTCTCTCGCGGCGAAACGGGGATCTCTGTTTTTGTTAGCTTCGTGGTCTGAGCAGGGAGCTCTTGACCCGCTAGGGGGCCACACGTCCCCGGTTACAACGCGCGAGCAGCCGCTGCGCTCTCGTGAGCACCGCCCCTCGCACTCCACTGCTGGATGAGCGCCTCCCAACGCCGTGGGGGTTAGTTGACCATCATACTTGAAATACGCCGGGCAGTGGCGGGTCGAGGGAGGCGGTAAGCGTGCACACGTGGTCCCAGAGAAGTGCCGGATTCAGCGAGTGCGGGGCCCGTAGCACATGTTATAAAGGGCCCTAAATAAAACACGTAAATATGAAAACATTTTTTTACTTCCATAGTGAAGTAATTGTATTTTTTCATTTTCTATGCAGCCAGATAATACGACAAATCGCTAATCTTATAAACACCCAGTTCATAAAAGTTGAAGGCAGTATAGTACTATAGTAATAGAGCAAGTGCAGAATTACTGAACCGGAATTGATAGCTGAAAGCATTTAGCTCGGGGCCCTTGAAAGTGCGGGGCCCGCAGCATATGCGACTTTTGCTACTGGGATAATCCGGCACTGAGTGCCCCAATGCATTCATTGCACAGCCCTCTGCTGCCCAACACGTGAGCTCTGCAGCCTATAGCACCTGTTACGCGCTAACCATGCTTACCACTGCTTAGCTTATGTGTTTTTTTTTAATACAGTATATATTTATTCTTACACTTGTTTGCCCAGAAAAAAAGCATCACCTGATCGTCATGACTCATTTTCAGGAGGGTCCTGCCACGTTTCCGCAATAGGGTGGGATGATTGCGATGCATAATGCTGATTTGGGTGATATTTTTTTTTACATTTGGCAAATGTTGGAGAAAAGTGCGGCGAGTAGACGGGGCCAACAGGGGCGTTGCCATTGTAAAGCCACTCCCCCATCACTCCTCACCCCTCCCCTGTGGCTCGGGTCGGGGGGTCCGAGTGCGTTCAGTGCTGAGACTCATTCCACGCAGTTCATCACCGACCACCGCCAACACCACAACCACCACCACCGCTGTCACCGGTGACTTCAAGCCCGCCGCGCGCACCTGGCGCTTTGCAGCGAGGGAACACGGAAATCACTGGAGCAACCTCATCGCTGGCAACATCACCACCACCAACATCACCAACAAACAATAGCAGCAGCAGCAACATCCAAATAACAAACAACCAGGAAGGCTCGCGCTCTGTTGCAGGTGAGCGCACCTGCTCGCTTCCTCGCCCCTCCCCCCTCCCCCCTCTCACCCTAATCCCCACCACCCTCCACCACCTTCCTCGCCGAGAAGACTGGGAGCAGGTGTTGGTGAGAGGCGCTCCTCGCGAAGACGAACGCACCAGGTCGGATTCCTCCACCCGGTCGGTCCAGCGCGTCTGGATAAGAAGGAGTGGCCAGGTCTGCTCGCTCGTGCCCACCCCATCGGTCCCAGCCATGCTCGAGCGAGGCTGAGCGTCGACAGGTGGACACACGCGTAGGGGTGGGTGGCGGTGGTGGTGGTGGTCGACTTGAAGTGACTCTGGGAGACATGGGGGGCCAGGCTGCAGGAGCGAGGATGGGGCCGGGAGAGCCTCGGATGTGGTGGCTGCTGCTGGCGGTGCTGAGTCAGGTCGCGCGAATCGCGGGCGCAGAGAGATTCGTGATCTACTGGAACGCGAGCAACTCCAGGTACACTCACCTGTACACTCACATACACACTCACCTGTACACTCACATACAAACTCGCTCACCTGTACACACGCTCGCCTGTACACTCGCATATACACTCACTTGTACACACACTCATCTGTACACACGCTCGCCTGTACACTCACCTGTACACTCACATACTCACCTGTACACTCACACACTCACCTGTACACTCACACACTCACTCGTACACTCACTCCTCACCTTTACACACGCTCGCCTGTACACTTACATATACACTCACTCACACACATGCACACTCACCTGTACACACGCTTGCTTGTACGCACACATGTACACTCACCTGTACACTCACCCGTATACTCACTTGTACACGCGCTCACCTGTTCACTCACCTGTACACAAACAAGTGTCGCTAAACACGAGAACACACGCGCGTGTGCGATCACGTGAACACGCCTGTGCATAGGACAACGCACCAGTATTCACACGCACGCCTGTGAACACATGTGTACACACGTGCACACACGTGCACACACGCACAACTATCAACGTGTGAACACGTGTATACGTTGAGCCTGGCTGTGCTGTTGGGGCAATCGTTGTTAGCGAGCGCCTATTAAGGCCGATCTCATCATCATTATCATCATTCAGGGGTCGCTAAAGCTGGGTACGGTTTCGTAAATTCGCATTAATGACGGATGGACTTATCCCGGCATGGGAACGCGGAGCTTCCGCCACCCGATGTGCAACGGCGGGTTGTGTTATCGCGACGGCGGTAATGATGAAGTTGAAACAAATGTTGTATGGGGGTTCGGGGAAGTTTGCGACTTGGCATCTCGGCGTGCGAGTGAGTACTCTTAGTTCTTTCGGTAAAGTCACGTAGGTAAAAAATTTAATAAAAATTTATAAAAATAAAACAATAAAATCACGACGTTTCGGAGGCAACACAAGTCTCCGTCATCAAGTGGGACCGTCACACCTGATGACGGAGACTTGTGTTGCCTCCGAAACGTCGTGATTTTATTGTTTTATTTTTATAAATTTTTATTTCATTTTTTACCTACGTGACTTTACCGAAATAACTAAGAGTATGAATCCTTTCAGTCACGAAAGCTTCAAATCTAGTGCGAGTGAGTGTCTGAGGCCAGTCCCGCTGACGCTGTGGGAGTGCTGCGGCGGGGCACGGCACCCCGCGGGGCCGGAGCCGCGTGCGGCTCTTTCACGACTGCACGGCGCCCCGCGGAATGTCGAGTTGGGGGGTTCTTTTACTTGCCGAATTTAAACAAAAATGTCTCTTCTTGTTAGTTTGGTTGCCGACCCCTGAACATGCGAGTTCAGTTTACCATGGGAGTCCAGTTTACAATGAGAGTCCAGTTTATCATGGGAGTCCAGTTTACCACGGGAGTCCAGTTTACCATGGGAGTCCAGTTTATCATGGGAGTCCAGTTTACCATGGGAGTTCAGTTTACCATGGGAGTTCAGTTTACCATGGGAGTCCAGTTTATCATGGGAGTCCAGTTTACCACGGGAGTCCAGTTTACCATGGGAGTTCAGTTTACCATGGGAGTCCAGTTTATCATGGGAGTCCAGTTTACCATGGGAGTTCAGTTTACCATGGGAGTTCAGTTTATCATGGGAGTCCAGTTTACCATGGGAGTCCAGTTTATCATGGGAGTTCAGTTTACCATGGGAGTTCAGTTTACCATGGGAGTTCAGTTTACCATGGGAGTTCAGTTTACCATGGGAGTCCAGTTTACAATGAGAGTCCAGTTTATCATGAGAGTCCAGTTTACCACGGGAGTTCAGTTTACCGTGGGAGTCCAGTTTACCATGGGAGTTCAGTTTACCATGGGAGTCCAGTTTACCATGGGAGTTCAGTTTACCATGGGAGTTCAGTTTACCATGGGAGTCCAGTTTATCATGGGAGTCCAGTTTACCATGGGAGTTCAGTTTACCGTGGGAGTCCAGTTTATCATGGGAGTCCAGTTTACCATGGGAATTCAGTTTACCATGGGAGTCCAGTTTTGCAATGGGAATTCAGTTTACCATGGGAGTCCAGTTTACCATGGGAGTTCAGTTTACCATGGGAGTTCAGTTTATCATGGGAGTTCAGTTTACCATGGGAGTCCAGTTTACCATGGGAGTCCAGTTTACCATGGGAGTTCAGTTTATCATGGGAGTTCAGTTTACAATGGGAGTTCAGTTTACCATGGGAGTCCAGTTCACCATGGGCAGGAGTCGGCACGCGGTGTGGCTCTTTCACGACGGCTTCGTGGCAGTCGTCTAGCAAGCGAAGCGCCGTCTGGGACGTCTTCACGTTGCATCGGGGCTCTCCAATCGTCGTTGAGTGTTTCGCCGAATTGGAACACACGCACACACAAAATGCCTCTTCTCGTTCTTGTTGTTTGCTAGAGACATAAGAGCCGAGTCTCCCTGCTTTAGACCAGGGGGGGGGGGGGTCTGTGTAAAAATAAAAAAAACCTTCCTCTTAAGATGTGGGTCCCACAACTGAAGACGCCGAGGAGGCCGAGGAGGAGGCTGGGAGGGGGGGTCGGTGGTGGTGGTTCCCCTCCAGGGCGAGTCTCGGCCGAGAGCTCCACATGGCCCGCTCGAGGTGTCGCGCTGTCATCGGGCAGTGAACCGAGTAGTTCGCCTGCCGGAGAGTGTGACGCTAAAGCCGACAGAAAGTGGGCAAGGTCTCCTCTGCTCGTCGACCCGGTCCGTACGAGCTCAAACGTGCGTAGAGGGTCAAATATCTGACGTGTAGCCGTGTGCATGCTGCTGGGGGGGGGGGGGATAGTGCTGTTCGTGAGCACCTATTAAGGGCGGCGAAGGGTGGGGGGGGGGGGGCTCGTATCACGATCGGCCGCCTTTGTCTCTCCAGTGCTGATGTTTGCGCACCGTACCAGGTACTTATTTAAGGCCGAGTCAACCTAGAGGAGGCGCAGCACCGGTTGGTCGTGAGCGGGAAGCTAACTCTGGTCGCC